CCATTCCAGGTCTTCGCGTCCTTCGTGTGATTGAACCACTAAACATTTTCTTTTTCGCCGCCCAGCCACTAAATTTTTTCTCTGCTTTCCTATCTAAGTTTGTAGATATAATTAAAGGAAAAAAGTTTTAAAATAAATTCTTTAAATAAAAAAATTTATATAAAATGATTACGTAATCATTGTGCAAGATCCCCCCCTCCCCATGTAATCAAACATAATCATTTCAATGACCCCCTCCCCCCCTAGGTGATTACGTAATATATGGACAGCCCCTTATTGACTAAAAGCACAACATGATTTTAATGATACAAATATTATACTACTTTAGAACTTTAAATAATATTAGTGGACCAAATTAACCTATACAAAATGGACCATTATAAAATACAGTTAAATAACAATCTTAATAAGTTAAACGTGTTTTTAAAGTAAATGTAATTTTAGTTTATAAAACGAAATTAATTTTTTTTTTCTGAGTACAAATAATACTCAAATCACATTTCACTGCGTCGCAGAAATTTTCGTTTCCAGCTGAGAATAACGACAGAATAACGGACCGCTGAAATTTGTCTTTGCTAACGTCGAGTGCAGGCAGATTATAAGACAAAGACGTCGTCAGGGGCCGAGCGATTGGCCTATTGAATTCTTACGTACATCAATGTACTAAGCAAACCGTCTTTGGTTGAACCAGATTTCTGTGAAACGTCCGAATAATCTAAGCTCCTATAAAATTTGACCTCCAAAAAACGTTCAGTTGCAAATTTCACCCAGAACGGATTGACATAAAAATCTAAAAAAAATCACATTAATTACTAAAATAACTAGGAGCCGCGTGTGAGGTACAAATTAGAACAAAAAACCAAGTCCCTAATATTTTCAAATCATTGGCCATGCCTAATGAGACGTATGTATGTATGCCCTGCTGTCGCACTTTAAGTATGACCGCGCAAGGGGAAAATGAAAATACCACATTTAAAATGCGCGGTTAAAAAATCGATTATATCGCAAATCTTTTCTTTGCGCCTTTTTTTTTAGGTAAAAGCCTAGTACTCAGTACGACGAAAACTGCTAGCTAAGCATAGGAGTAAGCGAGAGGCAAATAGGTAGCTAAGGCCTTTAGCTGGGACTTTTTTCCACGGCGGTACTCAGTTGAGCTAAGGAAACAATAAGGAAATACCAAAAAAATACTAGATTTAGCGGATGAATTCCGATGAACGCCTTTAGCCGCGGCCCAAAGAATAAAAAATTTGATCTTTAGCCTAGTACTCAGTTCGGCTAAGAGTTTTACTAGTCGAAAAATATTAATATTTTAGGGTGACCGAAGTTTTCGGAGTTCATCCGCAATGCATGTAGAATGGTCTTACTCTCAGCAAGCAAATTAACTGGCGCCAATTTTGAAATATTACAAAATGATTAGCCGACCTAGGTCGCAAGCTTTAAATTTGCTGTTGGAATGAGGATATGTATTGCTGCAACTCCTACAGGCAGTTTTCCATTGGTTTTTGGGGTTTTCATTCTATTTATAATATGTTATTGGCACACCGCTTCTGCACAAACACAGCCAAAGATCAAATTTTTTATTCTTTGGGCCGCGGCTAAAGGCGTTCATCAGAATTCATCCGCTAAATCTAGTATTTTAGTGGTATTTTCTTACTATTTCCTTAGCTCAACTGAGTACCGAGGTGGGAAAAAGTCCCCGGCTAAGGGCTTTAGCTACCTATTTGCCTCTCGCTTACTCCTATGCTTAGCTAGCAGTTTTCGTCGTACTGAGTACTAGGCTTTTGGCTGTGTTTGTGCAAAAGCGGTGTGCCAATAACAATTTAAATAGAAGGAAAACCACAAAAACCAATGGAAAACTGCCTGTAGGAGTTGCTGCAATACATATCGCCATTCCAACAGCGAATTTAAAGCTTGCGACCCAGGTCGGCTCAACGTTTTGTAATATTTTAAAATTGGCGCCAGCTAATTTGTTTGCTGAGAGTAAGACCATGCTACATGCATTGCGGATGAACTCCGAAAACTTCGGCCACACCAGAAGATTAATATTTTTCGACTAGTAAAACTCTTAGGCTTTAGCCTAGTACTCAGTACGACGAAAACTGCTAGCTAAGCATAGGAGTAAGCGAGAGGCAAATAGGTAGCTAACGCCTTTAGCCGGGGACTTTTTTCCACCTCGGTACTCAGTTGAGCTAAGGAAACAGTAAGGAAATACCAAAAAAATACTAGATTTAGCGGATGAATTCCGATGAACGCCTTTAGCCGCGGCCCAAAGAATAAAAAATGTAATCTTTGGCTGTGTTTGTGCAGAATCGGTGTGCCAATAACATATAAATGGAAGGAAAACCACAAAAACCAATGGAAAACTGCCTGTAGGAGTTGCTGCAATACATATTGCCATTCCAATAGCGAATTTAAAGCTTGCGACCCAGGTCGGCTCAACGTTTTGTAATATTTTAAAGTTGGCGCCAGTTAATTTGTTTGCTAAGAGTAAGACCGTGCTACATGCATTGCGGATGAACTCCGAAAACTTCGGTCACACTAAAAGATTAATATTTTTCGACTAGTAAAACTCTTAGCCGAACTGAGTACTAGGCTTAAACGTTAAATTTAAAATATTGGTAGACTTGCCGAAATCCTATTAATCTGATTTTTACAGTCTACATTTTTTCTAACAAATATTCTTTATAAAATATTCTCATTCGGCACGCTGCAATAGAATATGCTTTTAAAGACGAGATTCTTAAATATTTTACAGAAGCGGACCTAATGAGAATATTTTATAAATAATATTGGTTGAGTCGAATGTACAAGCATTTTTTCGTCATAAAATGTGATATCAAATCTTTTGTATGCTGATGGTGCGATCGTCACTATTTTTCTACCTCGTTAGGAGGTCTTTTTGTTTTATTTGGTTTTTACTTACCTTTTCGTTACCTATTTTATTAAAAAAATTATCTTATTGGTTGTTGGAGAGCTATGTATATCTTTAAGCAATTATTTGTTCTATTTTTTAAGGAAAACGAGTTTGTTTTCTAGACTTAGGGCAAAACAAAAAAATTCATATGAAAACAATGTCAAGAAATTTTATTTCATATGAAGTTTTTTGTTTTGGACGACTTTTTGTTGGGTTGAGTACTAGCCCTTACACGCTAATCGATTTAGAATTTAATTAAATGCTTAACCCAGTATGACATGCTGTATTTAAACAATTAGCTTATTCAATTCCTTTGCAAAAGTGTAACATTTGTAAGTTTACCAGACCAAAATTGTGAACCCCCCATTTTTAAAAATCGTTGCATGATATTGACGTACAAGAAAAGGCTAACTTTTTTGGTTTGGTATAGCTTGATGATTTTTGAGGAAAAAAGTTCCAAGGGAGGCTTTGCCTAAAATAACATAAAAATGGCCCACAGGCGTTAAATGGCTGAGGACGGACATTACTTCATTACTTGTATTGTAGGCATTGTTTTCTGGTTTCACAAACAATTTTTTTAAACCGTGAGATCTTCGGCATGTTGGGTAGCCTTGGTCAAGAATGTCACTTCCTTACTGTCTTATCTAAGCCCTCGATTAAATATCCAAAAAACAGAAAGCCGCGAATTATTTAGCATATGGATGCATATATTAGCATCGTTTACCAATGGCATTTACCAAATAAAAAACATTGGACGCCTAAAGTTGATCGACAAAATCTACACGCGAATTCTTAAGCCTCAATCGGCTTGTATGTTGACATCACCATAGACTCAAACCCAACTTTTTAGTATTTTTGTAGTACCTCTATTTTAAACCATTATTTCTACACAAGCACAAACGATTTGTATACATAGGCTGGGGTGTTGTAGGTCTTGAAAACTATTTTGTATAGAAATTGTTGTTGGAACTGCCTTACACTTTTACACTTTACAACGTTTGCAACGCAATTGAATACCCTAAATATGTTTTGACAAAATAGTGTAAGGATTTGTGTCAAAAAAATAATTTGTTTGTTTCTGTTTCTTGCAAACTTACGCAAGCAATAAGAATTTTAGGAAGTTTTTGGCAATTTTTTAGTAGTTGGCATAGGAAAATACATTGTTGTGTTAGCGGAAATTAAGCATAAAAGTTATAATAAAACCTTTTTTCGGCTTATAGGCTAAAAACAGCAAATTTTTGAAATTTAAAACAAGTAGCAAATATAAAGGTATGCTTAATTTTCCATTTTAATTCCCGCAGTCGAAGCTGCGGGCTACCGACGCTGCTAGTAACTAATATTATTAAAAGTGCTGAATGTGCTGTGAAAACAGCCTATTATTCTGGGCGATTCTATATTCACGTTTCGTTACGGTCGGTTTTCCTTTAACGTAAGGAAGATAGAAAAGGGCTGGAAATAACCAAGTCACAAACCAATTGGTATCACTAGAAAAGGATAAAAATATTCAGGGTATTCCCTAAACTGTTAAATTGCTGAATTGTTGAAAATTCAACAGAAAATATCACCAATTAAGGGAACGACCCAAAATGGTAATTTGTTGAAAAGTTTCACGGAAATTTCTAGTTGCTGTCTAAAATTCTTACCAAGGTAAAAAGAACCACCAATATGCTCTTAAGTTGATTTTTAAATAAATATTGCGTACTAGTGATTCTAAAATCTTACAGAGTTGCCATGACTTTTAATAAAAAAGGGGACAACTCTGGTTTTCAACGATTCCTCGTGGCTGTTGAATTGCTGAAATTTCTGAAACTTGACTTTGTATGGAACAGCTGATTAACAGCTGTCCAAAATGTAGGGAATCCCCTGATTATTTAAATAATAATTTAATTAAAATAATATCGATACCCCTGTCGGGCGACACCCACCTGATTTCGTTACGTGGTTTCCCTACGTAATGTTGCATGACGTAACTGCCGTTTAGGTTTCATGCGGAATTAGCCAAGTCACAAACCAAGTGGTACCACCAGGGATGCGGAAAAATAAAAATATTTCTTCAATAAAAATAAATAGCGATATTTTTGCAAGCTGTCGGGCGACTTCCACCTCTGATTTTTGTACGTGCGTGTGTGGTGTTCGGCTTTTGATTTGTGAATTCTAGCAGCGAATCGCGGTTATACACTAATAATAAACAGTTGGTAAGGCGTAAAAGTGTGCATAAGAAGCAGAGACCGTTTGGGTGTCAGAACATTTTGGTAAAAAACGGTGGTGGTCATGAGTTTCCGCATAAAATATGAGACCTGGTGCTCCATGGTGAAGCGTCCATCCCCGGCATTGCCAGGTGAAAGTAAATTGTGGAGTGTATAGAGTATTCCATGTTTTTGGTATTTTGCATTTGGAAGGAATCGCACAGTAGTATACACAACTGTAGTATTTTACACTGTTCCAGATGGCAAAATAAATTTTGCACCTACGATCTTTGAAATGTTTGTATCAATGTTATCAATAGATCAACTTTGCCGGCCACCCCAGTAAAAATCTGGTATTTGCGAGAGAAGCCTACAATTTCAGAAAACGAGAATCCCAGCGTTTCATAAGCTTCGAATGTTATTTTAAAACTTGTAAAAATTTTTCAATTTGCAGGTGAATTTGGCTGTTTGGCGTTGCGGAAAGAATGCATCCTTAACTTGTTGCCGTCTGCAATAATACATTTTCTATATTGTTGATACTATTACATTTTTGACCATAATATGGAATGTTCAGAATTCGTGGGCCCAGCAATTTCTTCGGCTTCTGATGATCTGAATACAGAGCATGTCCTTCAGGCCGAAGATCATAACTGTCCTGGTCGAGTTTCCATGGATGTGGAGGACAGTGTTGACCACCACGTGGCCAGCAACTTGTCCGGGTTTCGATGGAAGCGGGTTCTTAACCCCACAGGACCACAACCGCGACCTAGACATGGACACCGCGCGATAAATATCAAAGAGCTCATGGTCGTCTTCGGCGGCGGAAACGAAGGAATTGTTGATGAACTGCACGTCTATAACACTGGTAATTAAATTGTGGCACTTGTTCACTATTTTCTACTTCCAATCAATTATTGCGATGAAAATAACATTTATGTTTATAATTCAGTTGGTTTTGCTGGGACTTCAAAATTTATGTTATATATTATATATATACTCGATCAGCAGCAATAGCCGAGTCCATCTAGCCATGTCCGTCTGTCCGTTTCTATGCGATCTAGTCTCTCAGTTTTAAAGCTGTCGCGATGAAACTTTCCCCAAAGTCTTCTTTCTATTGCATAGGTAGTACATATGTCGGAACGAGCTGGATCGGATCACTTTATCTAATAACTCCCATATAAATATTCCAAAAAACATTAGGAAAAAAATTGTTACTTTGTAGAAAGTAGGCGTTTTAATTTTTGACAATAATATATCTGGAATCCCTGGTATTTATTTTACCTGCAAGGGTACATAAGCTTCGGCGGGCCGAAGTTAACTTCCTTTCTTGTTTTTAATTGACTTTGATTTAGTTGATGAATCTGGCAGGAATAATTTCTGTAAGTAAAAATAAATAATTCCACACCAAATACCCCAGATTATTTAACCGTTATATTTAGATATCATTATACCCGTTAAGGGTATGTTCTATTCGTGCAAAAGTATGTAACAGCTAGAAAGAAGCATTTCCGACCCTATAAAGTATATATATTCTTGATCAGGATCACTAGCTGAGTCGATCTAGCCATGTCCGTCTGTCTGTCTGTCAATATTTTGGAAAAGTAAAACTGCAGTTTTGTTGTGTTTATCAATACCTATCGAAATGTAGAAGAAATTTTTTAAATCGGACCATTCGTTAAAAAGTTACGGCGGATCAAAGTTTTTATCCCCAACTCCTTCGCACTCCCTTTAGCTGAGTAACGGGTATCTGATAGTCGGGGCACCCGACTATAGCGTTTTCTCTTGTTTTCAATTTAAAAAATTCAATATAAGGGAAGAGATTAATAATTGTACACGAATTCTAATTGAATTTTTGTTTGTGATAAATACAGTTTTTTTAACGCCAAAAGTTTCTGTGTAATAAAGAAACTTGCTTATTTGTTGGTTGATTTTTGTGGTGAAAAAATAACTTTTTTTTAAAGCTGGCTTTTACAAAAATAAAGTTGGAATGAAGTTGGAATTCTGACTATCGCACTTTCTTGTTTTATTTATTTGTAGTTACAAATCAATGGTATGTGCCCGTACTTAAGGGAGATGTACCGAACGGATGCGCTGCATATGGATTTGTTGTAGAGGGCACTCGCATGTTTGTGTTCGGTGGAATGATCGAATACGGAAAATATTCAAATGAGCTCTACGAGCTACAGGCCACTAAATGGGAGTGGAGGAAAATGTACCCAGAGTCACCGGACAGTGGGTTGTCGCCGTGTCCTCGCCTAGGTCACAGTTTTACAATGGTTGGTGACAAAATATTTCTGTTTGGAGGACTAGCAAATGAATCGGACGACCCGAAAAATAATATTCCAAAGTATGTTGACATCTCTATGAATTAAAATAATTGATAACATTTTGATACCTTATACCTTATTTCAGATATTTAAACGACTTGTATATATTGGACACTAGAGGAGTTCACAGTCATAATGGAAAGTGGATAGTACCCAAAACATATGGCGATAGTCCTCCTCCACGGGAGTCTCACACAGGCATCTCGTTTGCCAGTAAAAATACCGGAAATTTAAATCTATTGATTTATGGGGGAATGAGTGGATGCCGTTTGGGAGATTTGTGGTTGTTAGATACAGGTAACTTTAGTAGAGGCCCATATTTTGTTGGTTTTTTATAATGTTTGTTCATTCAAGACTCAATGACATGGTCAAAGCCAAGAACTTTGGGACAGGCGCCGTTACCGCGCTCATTGCACAGTTCCACGATGATTGCGAATAAAATGTATGTGTTTGGTGGATGGGTTCCGTTGGTGATAAATGATTCCAAGTCGACGACTGAGCGTGAATGGAAATGTACAAACACTCTTGCCGTTCTTGACTTGGGTAAGTAAATTTGTTAAACAATATGACACATAACTAAATATATAATATAAGGAAGTGTAGGGTAAGGTGACGAACGAATAGTTTTTTGAATGTAACCCTTCCAAAAAACAACATTTTCCAAAAGTGAAAAAGCAGAAAAAGCGAAATTCCAATGTAGATAGGTCCTACAGCGTTTTTTAATGTAACTTCCCCAAAAAACGTAGCCAAATTCCACAGCGTTTGGCATAAACCATCCTTTCTACAAAAAAAAAATAAAAAAAATATATTTTAACAGAAAAGTTATTTTGAAAGAAGTAATAAGAATGCCAAAACTTACTAAAATTAAATTAAATTAAAACTGCAAAATTTAAAATAATTTTCATGTTTTTACATTAAAGGAATTTCTATTTTTAAAACTCACATAAAGTATTAATTGAATATGTTGTATCTGAACCGGTACGTATCGGTACCAGAACCGTAACCAAACCATCAACACTAAAATATAATCGTTTACAGATTAAGCAGATTCGGCATGGGACCAGTACTGGAACCGGAACCGAAATGAGATTCGATTTGATTCCTTGTTTTAACATTTATAAATTGTAATCTAAATTAATAAGGTGTAATTTTTACTTTCAGAAACAATGACTTGGGACAATGTCACCTTAGACACTGTAGAGGAAAATGTGCCGCGAGCTCGTGCTGGCCACTGTGCAGTTGGTATTCAAAGTCGTCTCTACGTTTGGTCAGGGCGAGATGGTTATCGCAAAGCATGGAACAACCAGGTTAGGGTGAGACATTCTGTTGCTGAACATATATACTATTAATAAATGAAAAACAGAATTTTCCGATTGATGTTTGTTCTTGTTCGTTTATTATTACAACAAACAAACACTCACTAAAAACGTGATATAAATTGAATAGCACGATTTTTGAGTTAACATACAGAAATGTATTAATGTAAGTTGTGTAATTGTATCATATATGGCTCTTGAGGACTTGAAATGCGTGTATCTTAAATTTTTAACATTTTTTTCTATGCTCCTAAATTAACACTCACCAGATTTGAATCGTTTAAGAAGAATTCAAAATTAAAAAATTTCTCCGTACAGGTTTGCTGCAAGGACCTGTGGTATCTGGAGGTCTCAAAGCCATTGTATGCTGTTAAGGTTGCCCTAGTTCGCGCTTCTACTCATGCCCTGGAGCTCTCATGGACTGCGACTACTTTTGCAGCCGCCTATGTTTTGCAAATCCAGAAAATCGAGCAGCCACCGAATACAATCTCGAAGCCGTTAGGCCAGAACATTGTGCAGCAAGGGACAACAACGCCTGTTGAAGCTTCGGGAACAAATACGACAGAAAATTGTTCGGAAAGTGCCTTGGCTCTGGGGGTCGAAGCAACATCTACAGCACTAAAGTTGGAACAAAATACGTTACAAGCGGCTTGCAGTCAACCCGAAACAAACGTTCAACCATCTGTAAACGACTTATTACCGTCAGTCTCGCCTCCTCCATCGCCGACATCACGAGTCCAAAGGAAACCCCCTTCATCAGCGGGCGTCGCTTCCCTTTCCATGGCCTCGTCAGCCATATCTGTGCAGCCTCAAATATCTGTAATCAGTAGTACTGCCGCGGTAGCCGGCAACAACACCGCATCTAATAGTGGTGCCGTTAGTAGCATATTGCAGAAGTTTCGACCAGCTGTAACCGCCGTAAGATCATCTTCTACGACCACGGTGAGTGTTGCTACCAGTGTGGCGGACTCTCTGGCTATGCGGGTGCCAAGTGCGATGTCAGCGAACGTTGTTCTCAGCTCCGTAGCCTCAAGCAGCGCATTGCGTATTGTCCCTAGCGTAACTGCTTCGCATACATTGCGCCTAGCCTCTGCTCAACAAGGCGGCAGCAGCGGCGGGAGCAGCACTGCAGTCAATATATTGAAAACACTACCAAGCGCCGCTGTACAATCACAGCCCACAGCACAGACCACCACGTCCATCGGTGGAAAGCAGTACTTTATCCAAAAGCCTCTTACACTCGCTCCAAACGTTCAGCTCCAGTTTGTTAAGACCAGCAGTGGTGGCATGACTGTTCAAACGCTGCCCAAGGTCAACTTTAACGTACCAAAAGGAACTTCCCCTCATGGTATTTCAATCGCAAACCCACAGTTGGCATCTGGGACTACTCAAATTCAGGTGAGCAAGTAACATTCATGTATGTTAGGCTAAGTAAGCACGATAATCTAGTTGGCGTACTATTTAAAGAAGTAGGAATGTGGGAATGAAAAGTGATGAATTATATAGTGTCGGTCATATTTAATTTTCCTTAAATATACGCACTGTGTGGCTTCTGTAATAACTTTCACTGGCAAGGCATGGTTTAAGCTGAAGGTTTAAGCGTGGTTTAAGTTGAACCTGCCGAGGCTAGCTTCCTTCCTTGTTAAACTGTTATACAGGTAGGGGATAACTAGAAATAATAGGAACAAAAAATGCTATGTAGGGCAAACGCGGAAACAATTTTTGATATATATATTATATATTTTTCCAGGGATCGACATTGGCCGGAAATCAACTCCAGAAACCCGTTGTGTCTGGAAACGTTCTAAAGCTGGTGTCGCCCCATACAATGGCCAGTGGTAAACTGATTATGAAGAATTCAAACATTTTACAGATGGGCAAGGTAACGCCTAACGTAATGGGAGGGAAGCCCGCTTTTGTCATAACAAACAAACAGGGAGCGCAGTTGGGGAACCAACAGATCATTATTGTAACCACTGGTGGCAGCATGCGAACCGTTCCGGGTAGCACGGTTATGACTAGTGCTGGTGGCCCCACATCAGGGACCAATATTGTTAGTATAGTCAGCTCAACGTCGACAACGGCTAGTCCGCTGCAGGCAATAAGCGGACAAAGAACTGTAATATCCAACCAGAGTGGAGTAAAGATGCTGCGGAATATATCATCGGTGCAAACATCAACGTCAGTTGGGCAGAAACCAAGCGGCACTCCCATCCACCAGAAAACGGCCTTGTATATTGGAGGTAAAGCGGTTACTGTTATGAGCGCCAATGCAGGTATGGCTGCTTCGGGAAATATAGCAAATAAAGTAATGGTGCTACCAGGGACAAGCTCTGCTAACTCCCCTGCTCCTACTACGACTATAAATGCGAGAAAAGGCTTTGTTTTCAACGCCGGAGGTAGCCCACGTGCCGTCACCTTGGCCACTAAGAGCCTGAATACAAAAATCATAGCGTCAGCGCAATCCCTGAAGGAGACCATATCGGAAACTCCTGTCCCAGTCGCTACTATAAAAGACACCGATCCAATGGACGATATAATTGAGCAGTTAGACGGAGCAGGAGATCTGCTAAAACTTTCTGATGGGCAAGCGGAGCCCGGATCGGAGGAGGAAGAAAATAATGATGACAACGCTACTTCGTCATCAGTGTCTGCGTCAATATCTACTGGAGGTGACACTACGGGACCATCAAGAGCTTCTATTACCACAATTACGGAACAGCCTGTTGATATTGTTGAAGATGTTTCCGGTGTGAGCAGCACAACGGGCGTTAGGGAAGCGGCAAACGTCGGCACTGACAAAATAGAAGCTTCCAAGACATCCGAAAGGGAAAACGATGTGGTGGAATCTAAGGTAAGTGAATATGTAAGTCTACTAACCCTCACTACCTGCAATAGCGAGAAGACCGTTGGAAAAGATTCATCACAAAAACTTTAAAACTGAGATTAGAACTGAGTTCGCGTCGAAGCGGACAGACAAATCTATATACGACTTCGTTGCAAACTTCTGTATGATATAAATTTATATAAAATAAATGAAGTGTAATCAGTATGTCGCGGACATACTTACATCGCTGCCACATAAAAAGCTTAAGTTCTTAAACAAAGTTGCGCTGCGTAGCAAAATTGGATCTTCACATCAGGGGTGCTCAGTCCTATGGCTCGCGGGCACATTTGTTTTTGTTTTGGCACTTGGCATACGGAGCGGCACATACCACACTCTTCTAGGCACAATGCAAGTTCCTCTTTGTGTCGCTGTCCGTAACGAGCCAAGCCAACCACAATTCCATTGAGCTTTTTTTTCTCCTCAACTCACAATGCAAAGTGCTGTTGTCTTTTTAATGACTGTATGTGACTCGTTACTCGCATGCGTGTGTTTTTCTATTAATTGTGTTTGTAACTGCACTGCCATAAGGCAGTTTTGAGCACCCCTGCTTCACATCATTTTTTATAAATGATTGCTGCAAATTACTGCAAACAAATTTTACAAGTTCTTTGTTGCAGCAAAACTTGTGTTTATAAGTGCAAATTTGATTGCAGCAATCAAGTTGCTGCACATTTTTTTGCATCCTGGGTACCTCGCTGTACAGAAACGCTCCTGCCTTAAAATATTCTAATTCGTAAAATGTACAAGGAAATTATTATTCAGCTCTCGTTTTTCTCTGACTATTAAATAATTCTATAGGTTAAGTCAATACCAGCTTCAGATGATCGCCATCAGCCCACAACTTCGGAGACTGAAGCAGCCACCATACTGACGACAATAAAGTCTGGTGAGGTATTAGTGCTGGGAAGTTCGGAATCTAGCAAGAACTCTTCCGGCTCTACTAATAAAGGACAAGATGAAGATACAAAGTTTAGGCAAGGCCCAGAGTCCGTGAAGTTACCAACGTCCCAATATCAAAATGGTTTGTTTTTGTGCGAAAACTTTTATATTTAAATTAATACATATTTAATCTAGTCGATGGCTCACAGTTAGAGGCTTTGGCTTCAGCTGCAGTACTGCAAGCTGCGACGGCAGACGTCACAACACTGGCGACCTCTGGCCTCGCAATAAAAGATTTGATGGAACGACCGGGCATTGAAGCACATCCCAGAAGTAGCAACGTTGCTGAGAATCAACAACCCAATGTACGACAAACTTTATAGTAACTATAGACATAGTGGTGAACTAAGTAGGCTAAAATTTGTTTTTTTCTTTTGTGCAAATTACACAGGTCTTCAAAATCCAGACTTTTTCTTGGTCCGAAACTAATTGAACCAAAATCTCAAATTATTTTAGTTGTAGATTACTACCTCATAATTCTTAGTCCCATTACGTGAGCAGTTCCGAAGGAAGCAAGAAGTTTTTGTCTTCTTAGTTATAGTAAACAACATCTTTTTAATTTGTTTCATCTAAATGCTGATATAAGTTTGAAAAGCAAACTTTTTAAGATGGGTGAAAGTGAATTGAGTTTCACATAACACCCTCCAATAAACATTTTGTTGAGCATATCGAAAAAAAAAAGAAAAGCACCCCGATCGGACTTCTTTGTAGTATTGCTTCCACAGGAACAAGCGGATATAACTTGCAAGAATTAAAAATATTGCGTGCAGAATAAATGTAACTAACATGAATACTTCCAAATAAATAAAGAAAAAGGGTAAAAGCGTGTGCCTATATAGACGTCCGCTATATCCTTTAGGGATCATAGGAACAACAGTCAATTAAATTTTGAGTTTTTTTCAAGATTTATGCATATATTTTGTTCGTTTATATTATTTTTAATATATTCTATTCACATTTTCATATTGTTTTACGAAAATTGTGTACAACGATCAAAACCAATAAGCTTATGTGATTTTGGTTTTAAAATTATAATTTAAATTACAAATATAATAATTTGGTTAGTCCTAGAGTAAAGCAGTAAGACAACCCAAACATACCCGAATTTAATATTTCCTTTTTTATTTGTTTATTTTATAGATTCAATCCACCTCAGTGGTCGTCGCTGTGCCAAACACGTCGCAGAACGAGAACCAAAAATGGCACACAGTAGGCGTGTTTAAGGATCTTTCGCACACAGTTACCAGCTATATTGATTCAAATTGCATAGGTGATACCTTACTTGACGGTATTGATGTGGATAATCTTCCAGATTTCAGCAAATTTCCACGCACCAATTTGGATCCTGGAACGGCTTATCGTTTTCGCCTGAGTGCTATCAACACATGTGGTCGAGGAGAGTGGGGAGAGGTTCGTTAACCAAATATCTGTATTGCTTACCAATTGATGATAAATGCTTTAAACGTTTGCTACAAACTTTTTTATTTGCTCAATAGTGATGTGTAATAAATCGCGTATAGATTCTTTATAAATAGAAAATAGATGAGGTAAAATGTGAAAGCAGCCAAGACTTTAAATTTTAAAAACAAGAAGGATCGCTATTGTCAAGTGGGCGAATATCTTGTACCCGGTACTCATTTAACCAATTTTAAAATAATATTGGAAAAATATTTCTACAATAAATACCTTGTTAATTACAATTTCAATTCTAAACTTTAATAGTGTCGATAGGTTTTAATGAAATATGTGCGTCTGTGCATATGAAGAGCTAGAAGGTTGAGGCAGATTCTAGTGATGCCTGTGCACTTATGTATGTGCAATGTGGGTAATACTATATATTATTACTATATATATACTATATATATTACCCTCGATGGACCGCGATTTCTTAAGAATTTACGTGCAAAAAGAACTTGGCGGTCGGCCATGGTTCTCTTGTAATTGAATTTCAAAGTTCCCGGGTTTGCAATAAAAAACAAGGGTGCTTTTCTCATATTTTTAATCAAAGTAATTACGTTTCAATGAGTTCCTATAAAATTATTTAATTTTTTAAATGAGTTCCTATAAAAATAATTTAAATAGTTTTAATGAACACTTTTCCGAATCACCATTGAGGTAAAGTTCCAGGTTTTTTCTTTAATAACCTTTTATGGCCTAGAAATCTCTCTGCCGAAGTATTCCCGAATAGGAAGTATTTGAAAGTAGTGCATTTAAAAAAGAAAGTAAAAGAAAGACTGCGCCGCAAGCAAAAAAAATTTAAGAAAAAATCCCGCGACGCAGTTTTTTTTGTTCAGTACTAAACAAGTAGTTTTAGCTGAATAAGGGTTGTTGTGTCGCTCAGAAAAAACAAATTCAATCTTTATGTTTGGTTTTGGGTGGAAAAGACTAAAAAAAGGTTAAAATATATAATCCTATTTGGACCGCAATTTCTTCTGATTATCATGATAAAACAAGAGAGAACGCTATAGTCGGGTTGGTGTCCCGACTATCTAATACCCGTCACTCAGCTAAAGGGAGTGCGAACGCTGTACTGGATAGTGCGAGGGAGATAGATATATAAATTTTGATTGCGTATAACTTTTTAATGAATGGTCCGATTTGAAAAATCTTCTACATTTCGATAGGTATAAATATACACAACAAAATTGCATTTATACTTCTCGGAAATCTTTAAGGATGTGGGCGCAGGACCCATTTTAAAATCGTTAGTGGGCGATTGTGGGCGTTAGAGGGGGCATGGCGCTCGGCTAAAATAAACTTGCGCTGCGTAGGAAGCCAAAGAATATGTGTGGGAAATCTCAACCTTCTAGCTTTTGTAGTTTCTGAGATCTCAGCGTTCATACAGACGGACATGGCTAGATCGACTCGGCTAGTGCCCCTGATCAAGAATATATATACTTTATGGGGTCGAAAACGCTTCCTTCTAGCTGTTACATACTTTTGCACGAATCTAATATACCCTTTTACTCTACGAGTAACGGGTATAAATACACATGTGGTGATCCATGGCTATGAGAGTTCTTCAGAAATCGCTGTCCATCGAGGATCATTTTTACGTAGTTGTGAGGACTAGTTCCCTATAATACCAATTACTCAGATGTTTGGAATTTTAAATTAGTCTTATTTTAACAAAAAATGAAAATGAAAAAATCATATATGTAGATTTTTATAGCAAACGTTAGAAAAGCTTACTTGTTGTTTATAGCAAACCCGTGAACTTTGAAATTCAATTACAAGAGAACCATGGCCGACCGCACGTAAATTCTTAAGAAGTCGCGGTCCATCGAGGATAATTTTTTCGCGAATTTCGGGGGTGAGCCCGCTAATATATAGTATTACCGCAATGTGTACTTATGGCCAAGTTTTAAATATCATATTAGGGTTTTACTTTCTGTCAGAAAAAGTTGTCCTAAAACTGAGAGACAGAATTCTGTGGAAAACTTTTCCGAAAAAGTTATATCGAACATTGCGCCTATTCTAGAGGTTTAGTCAGATAAAGCCAGTAATCTTATTAGATTACTCGGCGAGAAAATTTTCCGAATTTTTCCCAGTCGATCTAGCCAAGGCCGTCTGTCCGTCTGAACGTCCGTCCGTCCGTGTGAGCGCTGAGATCTCGGAAACTTTTGTAGCTAAGTTGGTATTAACCATTTATATTCTTGAATTATAAGAAAGCCTGCCGCCCACATCTTTACAGATTTTGTAAAAGCTAAAAAGCCATTTTGTTGTGTTTTTTAATGCTAATAAAAGAAATCTTAAAATCGGACAATTTATTAAAAAGTTATGAACAAATAATGCACTTTCCGCAAGTTGGCGCCACTTTTAAGCGCTTGCCTGCTTTGCTGCTTTCGATCACTCATTCAGTTTTAAACTTAATTTAACATATTTATGAATTCCGATCATTTTTGGCTGAGATAGAATAAAGAAGTAAAAATAATAATATATATGATAACAAAAAAATGTTTATAATAATATATTTTTTCTGTATATTTCCTGAAGATATCGAGTTTTAAAACGTGTTTACCAGGCTTTCCGGGTGCCCCATCGGCTATTAAGATTTCGAAGGATGTCAAGGAGGGCGCTCATCTAACATGGGAACCACCACCAGCTCAAAAAACTAAGGAGATAATTGAATATTCAGTATACCTTGCAGTAAAACCAACTGCCAAGGATAAGGCTTTGTCCACTCCTCAATTGGCTTTTGTACGTGTCTATGTCGGTGCGGCAAATCAATGCACGGTGCCCAACGCTTCACTGTCCAACGCACATGTGGATTGCTCAAATAAACCAGCAATTATATTTCGAATTGCTGCTCGAAATCAAAAGGGCTACGGACCAGCAACACAAGTTAGATGGCTGCAAGGTAAGCTTCTTTCTTGATTTACCAACATTTATTTATTTATGAGTGTTTGACTAATGTGCTTTTTGAATATTTTTTTTTGCAGATCCGGCAACCACAAAACTTCAAACACCCACAAATACGCCAAATCTTAAACGTGTGCAGGAGAAAACGACTACTGGAGCCAACAGCGTAACAAATTCTTTCTGTTCGCCACATAAGCGTGGTCGGAACGGATTACATGAATGACCGACCGATTAAGTAGCATTTAGACTCATATATAGGCATAGAAATAATGGGATAATTGTAAAGCTCAATAGTAATGTTTCCATTATAACAGCTTCCCACGAATGAAAAATAGAATGTTGGTTTCTATGCTGAATTCAAAGTGATTTACAACGATACTTGAATATTATTGATGTAATTAATGCAGCTTTTCAAGAGTTGGCAAAATAAGATGCATGTACATTATGGATGTTTGGCTAGTTCGAATGGCTAAAACTAAAAAGTTGAATTATAATTATTTATTGACAATTTTACTTAAAACTGAAAAGATAAAAAAGCAACTTTAATACCTGTAAAGAAATATTTGTAATTTAAAATATGTTTTAATTTTCTTTAGTTTAAATCTTTTACGGCTCCATTTTTGAATTTCGCCAACCCTGATGTACATGCAACCTAACAAAAAAAAATAATACTATTATTTTAAATAATAAAAGTTGCCCACAAAATTATAAAGGTAAATTAATTCTAGTAAGCATCAGCAGTATTTTCCTTCCAGATCAGCCGATCGACCCCGTTTTTTGTAGTTTCTAAAGCTTGGTAAACTTGTTTGAATGATCAAGTGTGCTGACGTAAAACTCAGTCGAACCAGAAATACTAATGTGTAACAAATCGAGAAAATTAGAACACGAAGAACTCCGGCGAGTTTATTTGAATCCATTCGAATTCTTAAAATACGTCATAAGGTAAAAATAGAAAATTAAATTTGTTTTGATATACATATATATTGGAAAGTTTTGTCTTCTTTTATTTTTCTAATTGCTAAGCTGCCGTAAGCTTTAGCTCGTCACAGATAAGAGCAATGACATATTGACATTTAAATCCTAAGAATCCACGGACCAAAATCAATTTTATCTTGCAGTCGGAAGAAACGATCTCTATGACTCACAAGCAGGCATATTCAATTTTTCCTCGGCTGTTTACGTGAAAATGTATTCCATTAGACCGTAGACGACTACAACTCTGAAAGTGGGTCCTTGTATGAAATCAATATTCCCTCTGCAAGCGTATAAAAATACTTGTAATTCCGACCCGATTCCAATTCTTGATTAGCATTACGAGTCGAGTTTCCAGCTCTGACTGTCTAGCTGTCCGCAAACTAGTATTAATTTATATAACTTGAAACTTTCCCAAAACTCTTATTTCTATTGCAGGTAAGTATAACTAATATCTTCCATGGGAAAAATCGGAAAAATACCCTGCAGGAAAAATGTGAACTAGTCTGAAAAACAACTAGTTATACAACAAATTAAGCAACTGGAATTGGTCTGAATGCATTTGGACTACACAGGGTCTAGAAAATTTGTGCTAGTCAAAAAAATGATTAATACAAATCTAGTAAAAAAGAAACTTGTCTCGGACTAGTACCTTTCTGACAAAAAACAAGAGAGAACGCTATAGTCGGGTGCCCCGACTATCAGATACCCGTTACTCAGCTAAAGGAAGTGCGAGGGAGATGGAGATAGAAAAATTTGATCGGACATAACTTTTTAACGAATGGTCCGATTTAAAAAATTTAAAAAAAAGGCGCCAGACGCCTTTTAAAATCCTTTGTGGGCGATTGTGGGCGTTAGAGGGGGCGTGGCACTCGGCTGAAATAAACTTGCGCTGCGTAGGAAGCCAAAGAATATGTGTGGGAAATCCCAACTTTCTAGCTTTTGTAGTTCCCGAGATCTCAGCGTTCATACGGACGGACAGACGGACATGGCTAGATCGACTTGGCTAGTGACCCTGATCAAGAATATATATACTTTATGGGGTCGGAAACGCTTCCTTCTAGCTGTTACATACTTTTGCACGAATACAATACTTAACAAGAGAGAACGCTATAGTCGGGTTGTTGTCCCGACTATCTAATACCCGTCACTCAGCTAAAGGGAGTGCGAGGGAGATAGATATATAATTTTTGATTGCGTATAACTTTTTAATGAGTGGTCCGATTTGAAAAATGTCTTCTACATTTCGATAGGTATAAATATACACAACAAAATTGCATTTATACTTCTCGGAAATCTTTCAAGATGTGGGCGCAGGACCCATTTTAAAATCGTTAGTGGGCGATTGTAGGCGTTAGAGGGGGCGTGGCGCTCGGCTAAAATAAACTTGCGCTGCGTAGGAAGCCAAAGAATATGTGTGGGAAATCTCAACCTTCTAGCTTTTGTAGTTTCTGAGATCTCAGCGTTCATACAGACGGACAGACAGACAGACAGACAGACGGACAGACGGACAGACGGACATGGCTAGATCGACTCGGCTAGTGACCCTGATCAAGAATATATATACTTTATGGGGTCGGAAACGCTTCCTTCTAGCTGTTACATACTTTTGCACGAACCTAGTATACCCTTTTACTCTACGAGTAACGGGTATAAAAACACCCGTTACATATATCTGTGCACTCAGAAAAAATAAATTCCTTGATTTAAGGAAACATGGACTAAAATGGTTATTTAAGGCCATTGTAGACTTAACAAGAAAGGAAGCTAGCTTCGGCAAGCCGAAGCTTATATACCCTTGCAGATCATTCTATTAATTTACAAATCGCAAAAATGTTTAATTTTATATTATATCACATTAATTTTTCGATCGTTTCTATGGCAGCTATATGATATAGTAGTTCGATCTTTTTATACCCTTGCAGAAAGTATTATGATTTCAGTCAGAAGTTTGCAACGCAGTGAAGGAGACGTTTCCGACCCCATAAAGTATATGCATTTTTGATCAGCATTACTAGACGAGTCGATCTAGCCATGTCCGTCTGTCCGTCCGTCTGTCCGTCGGTCCGTCCGTGATGATGAACGTCATATAAAATTTTCAAAACTTAAAAAACATGTTTTGGACAAACTGACAAGCTGACAAACAGAATTAAATTTTAATTTGGGGAAGAACAAGAAAATCTTATTTTGGCTATAACTTTTGAACGGAGTGTCGGATTTTGACATATGACCCCTCATTCGACGGGTATTTTCAAAAGGAATACAACTAAAACATTGCGAGGGGCATTTATCCCCACCGGCAGCTCCAAATTTCGAAATTTTCACTTTTTCACTTTCACCACTCTCTCTACCAAGCAAATTGATTTTCTTAAAGTCTTGGTATGCAATCCTTTAAGTTCTTGCAATATTGGTGTATTACTCATTACGATCGGACTATCACAGCAGATTTTCAATTTTGCGGCTATATAATAGTAGTCGCCTTCGCACACTCTCCTGGTGCGCTTCGTCACTACATGGACTGCCGTCCATAGTGATGTCGGAACCGACCGGATCGGACAACTATATTTTATAGCTCCCATTGGAAGGATCGGAAAAAAAAAGTTGAAAAAATTCTAGCTTCCGTGTTTTCTCAAATATTACCTTCTATTCTTGGAAATATTATTATACCCTTGCAGAGGGTATTATGATTTCAGTCAGAAGTTTGCAACGCAGTGAAGGAGACGTTTCCGACCCCATAAAGTATATATATTCTTGATCAGCATCACTAGACGAGTCGATCTAGCCATGTCCGTCTGTCCGTCCGTTTCTACGCAAACTAGTCTCTCAGTTTTAAAGCTATCGGGATGAAACTTTCGTAAAAGTCGTATTTCTATTGCAGGTAGTATATATGTCGGAACCAAACGGATCGGACAACTATATCTTATAGCTCCCATAGGAAAGATCAAAAAAAAAAACGTAAAAAAATTCTAGCTCCGGTGTTTTTTAAAATTTTACCTTCTACTCTTGGGAACATTTTTTTTTATATATTTCTGAATTTCGGTTTTTTTGTTTTTTAAATCGGATCACTATATCATATAGCTGCCATAGGAACGGTCGAAAAATTAAATGGAAATTAATGGGAAAAAAATTATATCTTTGTTGGTTTTTATTACAGTTCCTTCTACTCTGCGATATGACTATTTTGAAATATTTCCGAATTTCGATTTTAATTTTTAAAAGATCGAACTACTATATCATATAGCTGTGATAGAAACGATCGAAAAATTAATGTGAAATAATAAGAAATTTAACATTTTTGCGATTTGTAAATTAATAGAATGATCTGCAAGGGTACATAAGCTTCGGCTTGCCGAAGCTAGCTTCCTTTCTTGTTTTTTATATATTTCTGAATTTCGAATTAAATATTTAAAAAATCGGATCACTTTATCATATAGCTGCCATAGGAACGGTCGAAAAATTAAATGGAAATTGTTAGGAAAAAATTATATCTTTGTTGATTTTTATTACATTCTCTTTTACTCTGGGATATGACTATTTTTTTTTAATATTTCCAAATTTTGATTTTAATTTTAACAAGAAAGGAAGCTAGCTTTTTCGAAATAAGTTTCTTGATCAGCATCACTAGACGAGTCGATCTAGCCATGTCCGTCTGTCCGTCCGTTTCTACGCAAACTAGTCTCTCAGTTTTCAAGCTATCGGGATAAAACTTTCCCAAAAGTCTTCTTTCTATTGCAGGTAGTATATAAGTCGGAACGAGCCGGATCGGACAACTATATCATATAGCTCTCATAGGAACAATCGGGAAAAAAAATGTAAAAAAATTATATCTTGGGTGTTTTTGAACCTATAACTACTTTTGGAAATGTCATTTTTTATCTAATTCTGAATTTCGAATAAAATTTTTTCAAAAATTAACGACTATATCATTTAGCTGCCATAGGAACGATCGGAAAATTAATGGGAATATAATAGGAAATAAATTATGGCTTCGTTGCTTTTTATTGTATTCTCTTCTACTCTAGGATATAACTCTTTTTCAAATATTTTCGAATTTCGATTTTAATTTTATCAAATTCGAACTACTATATCATATAGCTGCCATTGAAACGAACGCAAAATTAATGAGAAATAATAGGAAAATTAACATTTTTGCGATTTGTAAATTAATAGGAATTATCTGCAAGGGTATATAAGCTTCGGCTGGCCGAAGCTAGCTTCCTTTCTTGTTTTCATATACACTTGTATATCAGAGATCGCTTAGAGACATGTACTTAACTGTGTCTGATGGTGCGACTGGTAAGGTGTCTGTCTTGAAGCGAGAGGACCCCGGTTCGAGTCCCACTGCACACTGGGCCAGAAAGTTAATTTTTTGGCCAAAAATCTGTAATTTCTTTCCTAGGACAGTTAGAAGGATGCAGTTTTTTGCGTTTTTTTCTTCTTCCATTTTCGAAAACAATAAAGTATGAGATAAAACAAACTAAAAAAAATTAACATCACTAAAAAATATTATGTCGTTTAAGATTTATGAACCGTTAAAAACTGCAACTTTCGGAGACTCCCACATCAACGTTTATCAAACAATCGATTTAAAAAAATTTTCTATTTTTTTTTTCTTGTCATCTCTTAAGTTTTATATAATCAAATTATTAAAAAAAATGGTTTTAAAAAAATTGTTTTTTAAATTGTTTAATGTTAATTTGACATATTCTGAAGTCATCACAAAAGTATGCTACATTTTTATTTGCATAGTCCTGATTAAATAGATAGATATAGATTTCGAAAATACCATAATCGATTAGTGTACGTAAAAAGTAGATTTTAGATGTTAGTCACACTAAAATCAAATTTTTTCGCGCAAAATGTTCACTAAAACCTAAAGAAAAAAAGTACGGCATACTTTTGGGCTCTCTTAGCTAAGCTCTTCAAAATAGCTTGACTTCGAGTTAAGCCTTCAATTAAAACTTAAATTACCGAAAACTAAGGCAAAACCGCATCGAGTCGGTGGGCTACGCTTTTAGTTAATTGATCAACGAATTTTTTTTTGAAGAAATAAACTAATTTGTGGATGGCACTCAAAGGCACTTGAAAAGCAAAGTATTCATTTCCTAAAAAAAGCCGTAAGAATCAACAAATACATTTGTTTTAGGAAACAAGTAAGACATACAACCTATATTATATTTTTTATTGGTTTGAAAGTAATCACATCTACAAGTTTTGTGAAGAGTCGAACAGCTACATCAGCGTCTTTAACTTCAAGATTTTTTTTCATTTCCATCAATATTTGATGAATTTTCCACTTTGAAAATATGGTAAAAGAAACCTACTTTCCCGAATTCTTTGAAACTTTGGCATAAATTAGTTTAATGTATTATAAAACGGAATCCAAACTCAATTTGGTCATTTTCTTAAAAAAGAAAAACGTATTTTTGGCCAAAAATCTGATCGGCTGGCCCAGTGTGCACTGGTGCAAATGAGTTGGAAGTTGTTTTCAGTTGTGAAATGCATTTACTAATAATAATAAAAAATAAAAATAAAATAAAACAAGAAAGGAAGCTACCTTCGGCCACCCGAAGCTTATATACCCTTGCAGATAAAGTAATGCTCACTCGGTGCAATTCCAGGGATTCCAGATTCAGCGTTTCTATTTCAATTCTGTTTTTAAGTAGTCAAGAATCAAAACGCCTACTTCCTACAAAGTTACAAAGAATTTTCTTATATTTGTTTGAATATTCCTATGGAAGCCTTAAGATATAGTGGTCCGATCCGGCTCGCTCCGACATATGTACTACCTGCAATAGAAAGAAGACTTTCGGGAAAGTTTCATCGCGATTGCTTTAAAACTGAGAGACTAGTTCGCATAGAAACGGACAGACGGACAGACGGACAGACAGACAGACGGACAGACGGACATGGCTAGATAGACTCGGCGGTTGGTGCTGATCAAGAATATATATACTTTATGTGGTCGGAAACGTCTCCTTCACTGCGTTGCAAACATCTGACTGAAATTTTAATACCCTCTACAAGGGTATACAAATAAATGTTTTACCCGCCCCCCCACAATACCCTCTTGCCCACTATGCTCTAGCCAAATCACATCACCTCTACACATTCTTATAGAATGTTCTTTCCTATACACCCTACGATCGTCACTTTTTTCCTCCTCAAACCCCATTCAAACTATATTTGACCTAAAAGCAACCAATATAAAAAAAATAATACAATATCTTACAAACATAATTAACGAAATTTAGATTAAGCCTGTAATTAATAATAGAAAGAATTTATTGAAGTAAAAAAAATTGATTGTTACCTAATTAATAGTTTATTTTAGCTCGTAAATTTGTAAAGAATGAAAAAGAAAAAATTGAATTTTTTTAGCTTAAGGCCCCGTAGCTATAGCTAAACTTAAGTTCGCCTGTAAATTTTACATTATAGTCGAACACTTAATAATAAAATAATACAAATAAATGTAAAAAATAGAAAATAAAATATGGGTTGTATTGGACTCGAACCCGGTTCAAAAAAACCGGGAGCTGGTATAGTTTCCTCTGGGCCTTTATTAAATTTTCGAGTGGCTAACTGCTTTTGTAAGTTTAGATGGATATCTAAACTTTTTTAAAAATACGTTTTCTTAATTCATGACACATCGTCAGTATTAGGATTTTTACCAAAAAATGTAATGTTTTTCAGACGAATTTCTTTTTGCAAATTTCTCTTAAAGCTCACATCGACGAACACAAAGAGTTAACCATAAAATGCATAGCGTATACATAGCGACTTGCCGACTTTATGAAAACCAATAGCTTCCTACAAACCCAAGAAAATTCGGTTTTAAATGATTTTCGCGCTTTTATCTTTACTCTTATAATAAACGTAAACATAACACGAAAGTTTTTACATATATTTATCTGCCGACATTGACTTTAGTTTTTATTATTGCACAATGAGTGGGGTCGCTTTCTAACCTAGGGGGTTGGTGCCTATTTATACTTACATACAAACATAATCTCATTTACATCAAAACCTTGTCCATACATTATTTTATGTACGATAGCTTACGAAGCTTACGCATTCATATGTATTCAATCCTATTGTTTTAACTGCACTCATCGCAATAGGAAAATCGTTGTACTTGATTCTGTATCTCCCATATCATCCCCAAACTACTTCTCCCCTGGAGAAGGTTCAATCGTCGAACTTCATGAGCCCGATGGCAGTTGATGTTCCTGCTGATTGGAGTGTGAATGGAACCGATGCTGTTGGTCGTTGGTGCTAGCACTGCCAGCACTGCCACAGGCATTGCCGTTGCTACTGGGCTGCTGCTGATCCTCGCTCTTCACTCCGTGGCCGGGAACAGGAACAGGAACGGCGCCAGTGGCCAGTCGGAAAGCAGCCTCGGTATGGGAGCGCAAAATCGCTTCGGCCTGGTGCATGCGAAGTGCTGTTTCCGGATCCGGGTGATGGTGGGCGGTGTGGTGTACCTGGGTACCTGGGTGCGGATGGGCCTGCTGGTTGGTAGGAGTGACGGCGTGCTGCGAGTAGTTGGACGTCTGGTGGTGGTGCTGCTGCTGCTGTTGGTGGAGGACTTCTATCGGATGCATTCCTCCCAGGCCCGGGTCGGGCTCCAGGGAACCGCGCATCATATGCACGTTCATGTTCATTGCAATCGACGCGGCAGATGCAGCAGATGATTCGTTTTGCAGACTGGGCACACTTAAGTTCGGAGATCGTTGAGAGCGGGAGTGGCTGTTGCCGGGGTGCACCAGCAAATGGGACAGTTGTTGCTGCTGGTGCTGAGGGGTCTGCTGCTGTTGATGGTGATGAGGGTGTGCATGTGGATGGGGATGCTGGTGTGGGTGGTGTGGGTGGTGTGGGTGGTGTGACTGAGTGTGGTCTCCGTGCTGAAAGTGGAAAGTGGAATAAAACATCGAAATCAGTGATACAATTCGAAGGTGGTGACTGTACTCCTCTCCGTACGATTCTTACATGCTGTTGGTAGGCGGTGGGGCCGTTGCTAGGATTGTTCATTCGCATGGCAGCGGCCAGATTGACCACAGCTGCTTGGACCGCAGCGCTGGGCACGGCTGAGTTGTCCACTCCGTCCTGGGGGCGTGATGCGGCCACTGCGGCAGCAGCAGCAGCCATCAGCGACATTCGGTTGGCCACGTGCAGGTCCGTGTCCATGGTGTATTGGCCGGAGCTCGGAAGTCGAAGATCAGCCATTTTATTGGAACCTGAGTTGTTGTTGTTGGTGCAATTATTGTTGTTATTGGTGCTGCTGGTGATGTTGTTCTGGTTGCTGTTCTCGTTCTCACTAGACCCATGGTCGATGTCTTGGTCCTGATCAGACGTTGTCGACGACGTCAGACGTCCGTTCGAAGAACACTCGGAGTTCGCCGGGGACGGGCACTTCGAGTTGGACCCCTCCGAGTTGTGTGCGCCCATTGTCATCGCGTTCCCTCCTTCCGCCATCCCAATTCTGCCGCCAGTGCCACTGCTGGCGGCCAAGGTCACCGCTAGGAGGGATTCCCGCTCTCGTTGTTCCGCAGCCGCTCGAGACTGAAATGTGGGGTGGGATTGGAAATTGGATAACTTTTTAAGTTCGAATCTATCGATTGTGAACGTACCAAAACATACTGGGCCGCAAACTGGTGTTTCGGATCCATGCGCATTGACTCCATGTGGGTAAGAAGGCCTATAGAACAAAAAATTCAGTTAGTCTGACTACACCTTTGGGTCAACGAATCTGGGGAGTACCATTTTCATGAGTGAAGACTGCCTGGCAAACGCTACAAGGCCACATTCGCAGGCTGTTCGTTAGTTGGGAGGTCTCGGCGTGGCATGCCAGATGTTTCCGAAGGGATCCCTCGTTGACATAGTGTTTGCCGCACACTGGGCAGGGATGATTGGCAGTCCTTCGTTTGCCCAGGTAGCTGTCGATTAGGTTGGAGCTACCAGCAGTGGCTTGATGGGAGCTTTGTGCGCAGCTCGACTCCGATGTGCATTGCGCAGAGATCTGTTCGTTGGCAGTTCCAGTTCCATTTCCGTTCCCGCTGCCCGTAGCTCCCTGATTTAGTTCGCTGAATTGGGATAAGGCTGGAAAAAAAGTTATAATGAATTACAAAGCGTTAAATATACCTATTGTAAATTCCTTTAAATTCTTTTTTTGTGTAAAATTCGTTTTTGGCTCTGTAGATAGAAATCAAGTCTTTAATATACGAGTAGATGTTAGCGCACGACAAAATTAAACAAGAAAAGAAGTTAGCTTCGGCAAGCCGAAGCTTATATACCCTTGCAGATCATTCTACACTGAGAAAACTTGAGAACGAAAAAATCAAGAACGAATATTCTTGATTTCATTATTTTGTCTTCTCACTTTTTTTAGCATAAACGTTCTTGAAATCAAGAATAAAACCATTCATGATCTGGCTTTTTGAGAATACATCATTCTCGATTTCGTTTATCAAGCATGAACGTTATTGAAATCGTACCCAAGCATTCTTAAAATCGTTCTCAACTTCGTCTCAGAGATGAAAAAAAATGAGAGAGATAAAAAATGAGTGAGACATTCTCTCTGGAATTTTTCGGCAAGCTACCGAAGTTCACTTCGGCTCTCGTCAAATGCTCGTTTTTTTCGGCCAGTGAAGCGGAGTAAGTGAGGAAGTGAAGCCAGTATGATGGACGCGGACGACACACGTTTAAAGAACCTTCTAGAGGAACTAGATATTTTGAGTGCGCTGCCCTTCCTCAAACGTAAGTATTTAATAATAACATTAGTGTAATAATAAAAATTTATTTCCTATTACTTTTCCATTAATTTACCGATCGTTCCTATGGCAGCTATATGATATAGTAGTCCGATTTTTTCAATATTTAATTCGAAATTCAGAAATATTTAAAAAATAACATCCCCAAAAGTAGAAGGTAATATTTCAAAAAACACCGAAGCTAGAATTTTTTAAAGTTTTTTTTTCCGATTGTTCCTATGGGAGCTATAAGATATAGTTGTCCGATCCGGTCGGCTCCGACATATATACTACCTGCAATAGAAAGAAGACTTTTGCGAAAGTTTCGTCCCGATAGCTCAAAAACTGAGAGACTAGTTTGCGTAGAAACAGACAGACGGACAGACGGACAGATGGACAGACGGACAGACGGACATGGCTAGATGGACTCGGCTATTGGTGCTGATCAAGAATATATATACTTTATGTGGTCGGAAACGTCTCCTTCACTGCGTTGCAAACATCTGACTGAAATTATAATACCCTCTACAAGGGTATAAAAAGTTGGAACAAATCGAAAAGCGTTGACATAAATTGCTCCTTAGAAATACTCCCCTAAATACCGAAAGTACATTTTTTTGCGGCTCTCGCAATTAACAAAAATCTGTATAAAATCAAACGCTTTGTGGATTTTTGAGTTGATGGTCTTTTTAGCTTGCAGTTTTTAGTTAGTTTGGCAGGCGAAAACTTTCGCGAAGAAAATGTTGAATGGAGATTTTAATTTCGTAGGCTTTTTGATTGAAGTGGGTACCAAAACCCCAACTCTCTAGCTTTTATAGTTTCCGAGATCACACAGACAGACGGATGGACGGACGGACATGGCTATATATGGCTATATATATGGGCAATTCTCTGCTGTCGCACGCGACGTTCGTACGCTTTGAAGGTAAAAAACCATCTTCCAGTAATTCTTTTATTTTGGCACTAGGCTCAAATTAAAGGTCTTGATTAGCACTAAAATAAAAAAAAAAACAAGACTTTCGCACGCGACACCAATAGAAGTGACTTTTTTGACTTCCTGCTTAACTTTCGATTGTAACGAAACGTGAAGGAAGAGTTTAATGCAGGTAATTTCATAGTGTTCCTTGTTCTTTCTTCTTTAAATCGAAGTGACTGTTACACGCTACATGTCGCACGCGACATTTATTTTCTTTTACTGTACGAGTAACGGGTATAATTAACATGCCGAGCTACACCAAAAAATATTGATATGAAACGATGATCGATTTTACGTTATGTGGTATCAATTATGACAGGCCAGTTCGAACTTCGAATATGTCTTTCCCCTCCCACTCTCCTAATTGAATTAAGGGAGTGTGTACTTTTCACTCCCACTCACGTAATTTAAATTGTCACATTGCTTTTTCCTTTCTTTTCCGAGTTCAGAGAATCTGCGAGAGAAAGAAATCGGTATTGCATGGCAAAAACGATATGCCAGAAATGTACCATACGCATATCGATTTGACTGCGACGTGTCTTTATACCCGTTACTCGTGGGCTTGCATTGAGCAAAAGGGTATGTTGTATTCGGGGAAATGTATGTACTATGTAGAAGGAAGTGTTTTCGACCCTATAAAGTATATATATTCTAGATTTGGGTCACTAGACGAGTCGATCTAGCCATGTCCGTCTGTCTGTCCGTCCGTTTGAACGCTGAGATCTCGGAAACTACAAAGGCTAGAAGTTTGAGATTTCCCATACATATTCTTGGGCTTCCTACACAGCGCAAGTTTATTTCAGCCGAGCGCCACGCCCCCTCTAACGCCCACAATTGCCCACTAACGATGTGTCTGACGCCCTCATCCTTAAAGATTTCCGAGAAGTATAAATGCCCGTCTGTCCGTCTGTATGAACGCTGAGATCTCGGAAACTACAAAAGCTAGAAGGTTACGATTTTCCACACATGTTCTTGGGCCTCCTACACAGCGCAAGTTTATTTCAACCGAGCGCCACGCCCCCTCTAACGCCCACAGTCGCTTACTAACGATTTTAAAATGCGTCTGGCGCCCACACCTTTTAAGATTTCTGAGAAGTATTTATACCTATCGAAATGTAGAAGACATTTTTGAAATCGGACCATTCATTAAAAAGTTATACGCAATCAAAATTGTTTATATATCTATCTCCCTCGCACTCCCTTTAGGTGAGTTACGATTATTAGTCGGGACAACAACCCGAGTACAGCGTTCTCTCTTGTTTTAACTGCAAGGGCACATAAACTTTGGCTTGCCGAAGATAAATTCCATTCTTGTTTAGTTTTAATGGTAAAAATTGCACACTTGTTTTGAACTAGTGTGTGTTACAACCTAAGCCCGTTTTTGATTATTTTTTGGTTAGCTGTAGCAGCTACTAAACTATTATAGAGATGATAAAGATTGCAATGTTCTTACCTGATCCACTAGGTGGGGGACTCTTTTCTTTATGAACGTGTTTCATGTGGTCCACAAGAGCCTCGGTGCCAAGGAAAAGTTTATGGCACACAGGACAGGACGTGGCGTTTGGACCACCTATTAGAGCGGCGTGCTGCTGCAAGACACCAAGATGCAGCTGTAGCTCCTGTTCGTTATGCGCGGTGGTTCGGTTGCAACAGGGTTTTTGATGGTTCAAGAGGGCAAGGGATCAACACGAAGATCAGGTTCGAGGTAATGGGCGAAATAGCAGGGTGTAATATAAAAGGCAATGAAAAAATGCAACATGACTGGCAGCTTTGATGATAACGGGTACTTACCTTAGATGTATGTGTGCGCAGGCTGGACTCAGTGGCGAAGCCCTTCCCACAAATGTTGCAGTGGAAGGGACGGTTTTTTGCACGTTCGACCTGTGCGTCGTGGTTTCGTAGATGCTGCTGCAGATTTGAAAGCTGTATGAAGGCTCGACCGCAGTCTGGCAGGTGGCATTTGTAGGGACGTTCTCCTAAAAATTCATAATTTGTGGGTGCTTTTAGATACTTTTTCTTTTAAATCAGCGGTCAGCAGCGTTCTATTAAGTGAGCTTAGGGAATTGTTCTTCCCAGCCTCTACACTATAGAACAGCTGCGACATGTTTACATTTTAAAAGTCGGATTTTTTAACTTTTTTTGGTTGACAGAGTCCAAATTTAAGATGATATGATAAATTGATATAAAAATTCACCATAAATCCGATTTTCCATGGATTTGGGCCACATCCGGCTTGTTTTATTTGTTAGGATGTGAGCTTTAAGTTTGTACCCATTATGATTTTTCAACGGATTTATTTCGAGTTTTTACGATATATACAGCCGGCATACAGTAGACCAAAAAACACATTTTTCAATTTTGTCGAGCTGCTGCGCTGCCATCCCTTATCCAATAATAATGATCTGTATGGCAAAGTTAAGCTCTGATCTATTGAGCTTAAAATGAAAACGGGCCCAATTGGGTGGATATGAGCCGGGATATAGGAAGAATTTCAAAAAAGTTAGAAATTTAACATTTTGAACTTTAAAAAATCTTAAAAAAAAACTGTGCCATCGAAAAAAAGTTAGTCGTATTTTCGTGACCTAAGGCTCTAACACTAACAGAATTTTAAATGAATTGCTGTGAAGCACTCCAAGAATATTATTTTGTAAACTAGTGTAATCGGAACAACAATTATGGCTTCGTTGATTAGGAATGTCAGAATGTAAAACAAAATTTAAAACAAGACAAAACAAACAATTTTTCTGATATCCCAAGAACGGCGTATATAAACAAAGTTACCTTCCTTCCTCGTGCCTTGACTAGAATCTGCACGAGTGTCACAGAATTCTCCTTCAACCAGCTTTTTCCCAAAAGCAAATCTCGGTGTCACAGAATTAGTTTGAAAATCAAGCACACGATATTAAACCAACCAAAAAATAGTAGGCCTTGAAGCAAATGTTCCTAAAATCGAACCAAATTCCTACGCTGAAATAAACTTGCGCTGCGTAGGAGGCCCAAGAATATGTGTGGAAAATCTTAACCTTCTAGCTTTTGTAGTTTCCGAGATCTCAGCGTTCATACGGACAGACAGACAGACAGACGGACAGACGGACATGGCTAGATCGACTCGGCTTGTGACCCTGATATGAATATATATACTTTATGGGGTCGGAAACGCTTCCTTCTAGCTGTTACATACTTTTGCACGAATACAATATACCCTTTTACTCTACGAGTAACGGGTATAAAAACCGTCCCGTAGCCGTCGCCGGTTTCTGTGACACCTCTGACACCCCCGTCTGTCTGTCTGTGTGAGCACTGAGATCTCAAAAACTACGAAAGCTAGAAAGTTGGGATTACCCAAACATATTCACTGGCTTCCAACGCAGCGTGTTTGTTTCAGCAGAACTCCATGCCCCCTCTAATGCCCACAATCGCCTTAAACGATTTTAAAAGCCGTCTGGCCTTTGGAGAAACATAAATGTAATTTTATTATGTTCAATAATATCTATCGAAATGTAGAAGAAAATTGTTTTTGATAAGTTTTGAACAAAAGTTGAGACCGCCACTTGATAGCGCTGACGACTGCGTATCTCCATCTCCCGCGCACTTCCCTTAGCTGAGTAACGGGTATCTGATAGTCGGGGCACCTGACTATAGCGTTCTCTTTATTATACCCTTGCAGAGGGTATTATGATTTCAGTCAGAAGTTTGCAACGCAGTGAAGAAGACGTTTCCGACCCCAAGTATATATATTCTTGAACAGCATCATAGATGAGTCGATCTAGCCTTGTCCGTCTGTCCGTCTAATAATATTTATTTGTTTATATCCTAATGCTACAAGTAAAAACTTATATTTATTGCGCTAGTCAGATCGGATTGAGTAACAGAAATAGTAATAATTTAATTTAAAAGTACTACCTAAAATCTAACAAAGTTGGGTTGACAATACGATTATAAGTTTGCAACTAATTTTGATCTAGCATCAATTCTTTGATTTTCGATTTAAATTGAGACGCGCTTCTAATGGTTTTGATAGCATATGGCAGATTGTTCCATAGGCGAATTGCATTAATAAAGAATTGCCTTTATATCGAGGAATAATAAAATTTTGTGTTCTGTGCGATTGAGCTGGAAGAAGTTTCTGAAACAAGTAAGACGGTTCACGGGTGCACACATTCTGTTTGTCCGTCCGTCTGTCCGTCCGTCTGTCCGTCCGTTTCTACGCTAATTAGTCTCTCAGTTTTGAAGCTATCGGCTTAAAACTTTCTCAAAAGTCTTCTTTCTATTGCAGGTAGTATATAAGTCGGAAGCGGATCGGACAACTATATCTTATAGCTCCCATAGGAAGGATCGGAAAAAAAGTTAAAAAAATCTAGCTTTGGGGTTTTTTAAAATATTACCTTCTACTCTTGGGGATATTATTATACCCTTGCAGAGGGTATTATGATTTCAGTCAGAAGTTTGCAACGCAGTGAAGGAGACGTTTCCGACCCCATAAAGTATATATATTCTTGATCAGCATCACTAGACGAGTCGATCTAGCCATGTCCGTCTGTCCGTCTGACCGTCTGTCCGTCTGTCCGTCTGTCTGTTTCTACGCAAACTAGTCTCTCAGTTTTTGAGCTATCGGGATGAAACTTTCCCAAAAGTCTTCTTTCTATTGCAGGTAGTATATATGTCGGAGCCGACCGGATCGGACAACTATATCTTATAGCTTCCATAGGAACAATCGGAAAAAAAAACTTTAAAAAATTCTAACTTCGGTGTTTTTTGAAATATTACCTTCTACTTTTGGGGATTTCTTTTTTAATATTTCTGAATTTCGAATTAATTATTTAAAAAATCGGACGACTATATCATATAGCTGCCATAGGAACGATCGGAAAATTAATGGAAAAGTAATAGGAAATAAATTCTAGCTTCTTTGGTTTTTATTGTATTATCTTCTACTCTAGGATATGACTCTTTTTAAATATTTCCGAATTTCAATTTTAATTTAATCAAAATCGGACGACTATATCATATAGCTGCCATAGGAACGATCGGAAAATTAATGGAAAAGTAATAGGAAATAAATTCTAGCTTCTTTGGTTTTTATTGTATTATCTTCTACTCTAGGATATGACTCTTTTTAAATAATTCCGAATTTCAATTTTAATTTGATCAAAATCGGACGACTATATCATATAGCTGTCATAGGAACCATCGGAAAATTAATGATAAATATTAGAAAATTGAACATTTTTGCGATTTGTTAATTAATAGGAATGATCTGCAAGGGTATATAAGCTTCGGCTGGCCGAAGCTAGCTTCCTTTCTTGTTTTTTAATCATTTCCGAATTTGGAATTAAATATTTACAAAATCGGACGACTATATCATATAGCTGCCATAGGAACGATCGGAAAATTAATGGGAATATAATAGGAAATAAATTATTGCTTCGTTGGTTTTTATTGTATTCTCTTCTACTCTAGGATAGAACTCTTTTCAAATATTTTCGAATTTCGATTTTAATTTTATCAAAATCGAACTACTATATTATATAGCTGCCATTGAAACGAACGCAAAATTAATGAGAAATAATAGGAAAATTAATATTTTTGCGATTTGTAAATTAATAGGAATTATCTGCAAGGGTATATAAGCTTCGGCTGGTCGAAGCTAGCTTCCTTTCCTGGTTTTTTATAATATAAAAGGTTTTTAAAAGCTGCTACACAAATTTCATGTTGAAATTACTTATGTTTATACCCTGAATTTACTTTGTTTAACATATAGTTGAAATTGATAAAAGTTATCACACTGTTTCACACAGCTTGCTTCATTTAGTCAGTGACGTAACTGTCAGTGGTGGCGTCATCTGGGTGCGCATTTACCTATAAATTGGCTAACAGATAAACGGGTATTTGATAGTGGAGGGACCTGACTGTACAAAGAAAAGCCTCCGGATTCTTAGCTTCGATAAGTTAATAAATATATGGTAAGCTCTACTTTAAGCTTAAAACATCACTAGGTGTTCAATGGTATTTATTCGCACTTTCGTACTTATCGATTCCTATATTTTAAACATCTTACAAGACTCCTAGTACAATTCTCTATAGGACGGAGTATGAGGAGCACAAGGGCCGCTGTTACTTAAGCTGTTTCCACGATTTCAAAATAGCTAAAGGCGCTTAATTGACTGATTGACTTCATTTAACATGATTAAAAGCGAGCTCTCTAAAATGATGAAGACGGTTACTTAAAAATTTTCGTGGAGCTTCTACTGCGAGCCTGTGTTGCAACAAGCTCAAAAAACAGCGAAAAAGGGGCAATGGCGCATTACAGACTTAAAGCAAAATTAATTTCGTTTAATCGCGCAATTAAATAAAAAGTGGAAGGTCAGCAGCCAGCAACAACTACGATGACAGAGGAACCTGGCGACTAAAGCGTTTAAGCTACTTAGTGTCACTTTGCTTCGAGTAACATTAAATACAAATAAATAGTCGCAAAGTGCAGTCGTGTAGACGAAGCTGCGGTCGAGTCCCACACTCAGGCATGAGCCAGTCCCCGACCAGACCCAAGCACAACCCTTCGCCAAGTAGTCGACCAAGAAGGCCGGAATAGCTGCAGATTCACACCTCGAAGGCACGTAGTCGCTGCTCACTGCCTAAACGCCACTTCATTTGACCCGTCACTTAAAGCGCCTTAAAGCAGGCAGACTGCACTGACTGGATTGCAGCTTCAACGGCTTTGCGGCCCTTCCTCGCCTAATGGGCTCTGCTATCCATTATCCATCCCGCCGGCTTGGCCCCGTGCTGTCAGCGCTCAAGAAACCGGCCGGCCTGGGACCCTGTATGCTATAATTACCCAATCCTGCGCCGCGTAGATGGGAAACCCGTCCGTTAAAAGGTAGAATTCCGTCGCTGCCTAGCTACTCCCATTACTGGGGTAAGGACCAAACTGGTTTTCAATTAAAGCGTTTTTCATTTCTTGTTCGCTGTGTCCCAGAAGGTGAGAAGTCACAGAATCAGAGGCGAGGAAATAAAAATCATAAATAGGAATTGTAAAGTTGCAATCAGGTGTGAATAAGAAATGGTTGAGGCAAGCGGCAAGCGGTGATTGCGAGGATAGGAAGGATAGAACCGGAAGGGGGACACTCTCGTGTACAGGAAAGCGAAATGACATTGAATGCAGCTAATGACGTTGAACGTCTTCTCATATTGCCAGATCCGTTCATATATTTATCCCCTTCAGCTGTCCTGAGTCAACAAACTTCCTGGATTTGAGGAGGGTGGCGAGGGTGGAATGGGAGCGGCTACCGACGCAAAAAGCTCTCCAAGTTTATTTAATTATCTTTGTCATTGCCATTTGCAATGCCGACCCGCTGATTTTGTCAGCTGCAAAGATGTGTTGAACGAGAGTGCAAAGCACAAGACCTTATTATAGGGACGGAAAAGAGATTTTTGGGAAGTAGACGAAGACCAAGGTCAGACATGCTTTCTTACAAGTACCAATATAATCTCGAGAATAGTGTTGGACTGAGACCAGTTTCCGTTTTAATTATTCAAGAACGAGCCCTGAGCATTTTTCATCATCTTGGTAATTACAATTAGAACAATTAGAAATAACTCATAAATTGTCAAATCAGGACCGAAGGTAACAGTATTTTTTTCGCGTATGGACAAATATTAACATAAAGTGGAAAAGGAAAAGGAAACACAATTATGTTTAAGTGAAAGCAAGTAAGCTTGCACTCTAAATATTATTCCAGAGTTTAATTTTTTGATCAAAAATAATTGTATCTTTTGCAGAGGGTAACGCAGTGAAAAAGACGCACTGTGGGCCGTCTAGAAAAAAAAGCCTTCCAAAATGTTTTTTTTTTAAGATTTTCTAGAATGCTGCAATGCAAGGTTAAAAACAATTGAATTCTCTATACAAATCAAAAAGAAAAAGTAAACTGTGATGAATGGTTCACCCACTAAAGATTTTTAAAGTTGATTTTTCGAAATGGAACTGTAGCCAATACGAAAAAAACTATTTTTATACATCTTTGCAATTTTTTTGAAAGCGCCTAAGGGCTTAAGTTGTATATGTAACGATTGAAATTTTAAAAGCCACCAATTCTTAGAATTAAAAAAAAAATAAAAATTTTAAGTGCATAATTACTATTTTTTTTAGTTTTTGAAAGTGCCTAAAAATTGGGTTTTTTTGGATATTCTTTTACGTAAAGTAGTGTGACTACCTAGATCCCCGTTGAATTCTTTTTTAAAAAAAATAGTTTAGATATTTAACTACAAATTCTGAAAAAATTGCCCTTTAGTGCCTCTTCTGAGAAAACCGCAGTTTAAGTTAGCAAGAAATGTTTATAATTTGAAATATCGTCAGCCCTGGTTCATCCGCAAAATTGAAAATCTGCTATAATAGTCTGATCGTAATGAGTAACACACCAATCGAAAGGTATTGCAAAAACTTAGAGGATTGCATACCAAGACTTTAAGAAAATCAATTGGCTTGGGAGAGCGAGCGGTGAAAGTGAAAAAGTGAAAATTTCGAAATTTGGAGCTGTTGGGGCCGAATACATTTTAGGTAACGTACTTATTTAGTCGCATCTAAAATCATTTTTCGTCACAAAAGTTGATATCATAACTTTTGTACGTTGAAGGTGCGATCGTCACTAGTTTTTTACCCCGTTTAGAGGTGTTTTTATTTGATTTATTAAATGCTTAAACGGCAAAATTTATTTACACAATTCAAAAAAATTTTAATTTTTTTTATCTGTTATTTGTACATTTGCTTATGAAAAGTCACGCGTCAGGTACCGATCAAAAGCATTTTTCAACTTTGAGGAAAACGCATTTTCTCAGAATCCCAAACACAGTTTACAATGGTGATTTAAACCGAATGCGATTTTAAGGAATCCTTCAAGGTAAAAATATAAAGCAATAATTTTGTAACACTGTGTTATTATTACCCTTATAACCAAGGTTTGCCCGCTAGGTGTCGTTTTGTCGCCTTTCTGTGTGCATATATATTCTTCTCCCTCGCACTCCCTTTGTGTCAGTAATGGGTATATGCGCGTATCTGATTTTATTCCATGCCCTGTATGGTTAAGATTTTCTTCAAATGCTATAGTTCTTTTTTTGAGGAATTTTTTTGCACAATAATATTTGAAGTGGTATTGCCTTCGAGTTTACTTTAAGTAATGAGATGTGATGAAAAAAAATGTAAGTGAAGTAAATTTATGTCTGTCTCCCAATAATAATATTATTTAAAGAATTTGTGTTCCGACAATTTGGTAAGAGTAAAATGAACCTAGCCGTATAATCTATATTCTTTAGGAAATGAAATATAATCCTAGGTAACGATGTGTTCGGGATTACTCACCTGTGTGCAGGCGCGTGTGCTGCTGGACATGCGACAGCTGCTTAAATCTACGATCACAGTAGGAGCACTTGTACGGCTTCTCTCCAGTGTGCACCCGGATGTGTTGCACCAGCTGGTGGTTACTGGAAAAGCTCTTCATGCATTGCTGGCACTGGTGGGGCTTGGTATCCGATCCAGGCGTGATATTGCCGCTCAGGTTAGCCGTGCCGGTCACACCGTGGGTTCCGAGGCCGACGCGGGGAATCTGTTGCTGTATTTGCTGCATCGCGCTTTTGTGCATAAAAAGCTGCAAGTGCAAAACAACACGTTAAAACGGCGGCGATTAGTTTGGAGCACAGATATGCGAGCAACTCTTGGCCGAGGGGAGTGAATACCTCAACCTCAAGAACCCATTGATTCATTAAGTTCGCGGCTTACTGTCAGTGCGTTTGTCAATACTAGTTATATTTATAGACTTCGCTGCGTTACCTTTTGCGGTAATTGCTAGTTGTATATGGTATTTTTTGTAAACTTTTCATAAAAATGTGTACCATTGCATGTCGTACAAGTGAAAAACATGTCAGCAAAATCTGAACTTCTTGTGGAAAGTTGAAAATAAAAAAATTTAAGTGTATTAAATGTAAGTAAACAGGTATGTAGTTAACGTTTTCAGTTGGGGCTAAGCTGCTTACTCACTAACACTGTGAGGTCATCATTCGTTCTGCTGATTTTTAACAAATTTAATATTGGGGCCAATACCAAGCCAATAAGTAAGTTTTAACACCAAAAATAGCACATTCACAATATGTATCTCTCCATTTTACTATTCCCCAATGACTTCGAAAAAAATGACTTCGGCAAGACCTTTTTACTTTTCACCTTTTAAGGTAAACTTCTACAAATAAAAAAAAAGTTTTTTATTTAAAACCAAACAAGAAAGGAAGCTAGCTTCGGCCAGCCTACTTCCTACAAAGTTACGATGAATTTTCGTATATTTGTTTGATTATTCCTATGGGAGCCCTAAGATATAGTGGTCCGATCCGGCTCGCTCCGATATATGTACTTACTACTTGCAATAGGACTTTTGGGAAAGTTTCATTGCGATAGCCTTAAAACTGAGAGACTAGTTCGCATAGAAACGAACAGACGGACATGTGGTCGAAAACGCCTCCTTCACTGCGTTACAAACTTCTGACTAAAATTATAATACCCTCTGCAAGGGTATAAAAATCACTTTTAAAAAATAATTCATATGATGAAAGTCGGACACACTTTGCACAAGAAACAGTCTTCATTACGAGAACAGGTAGCTAAAGATTCAATATATACCGAACGAAAACGAAAGCTAGCTTCGACAACAAGAAGTTTTAGTACCCTTCCACAGGTATTATGAATAGAAATGTGTCTGAAGTAGTACAAAATATAAAATATTAAATAGCAAAACTTTCGAGAATACTTTAAAACCGGTAAATTTTAAATATATTTATCTAACATTTATCTAACATATTTAAAAACATTTCATATTTGCCTAATAATAATAATAATTATACCCGTTACTCGTAGAGTAAAGGGGAATATTGTATTCGTGCAAAAGTATGTAACAGGGAGAAGGAAGCGTTTCCGACCCTATAAAGTATATATATTCTTGATCAGGGCCAGTAGCCGAGTCAATATAGCCATGTCCGTCTGTCCGTCTGTCCGCTCGTATGAACGCTGAGATCTCGGAAACTACAAAAGCTAGAAGATTGAGATTTTCCACACACATTCTTGGGCTTCCTACGCAGCGCAAGTTTATTTATTTCGGGTCACCAACCCGACTATAGCGTTCTCTCTTGCTTTTTAATTAATTAAAATTAATTAATAAAGACAGACAACACAGTCGACAGACAGACAGACATGACTAGATCGACTCGGCTAGTGATCCTGATCAAGAATATATATTATATTTTTATACCCTTGCAGAGGGTATTATAATTTCAGTCAGATGTTTGCAACGCAGTGAAGGAGACGTTTCCGACCACATAAAGTATATATATTCTTGATCAGCATTAAAAAATTAAATAAAAAATATTTTAAAATGTTTTATAAATAATAAATAACAAAATTTTAAAATTATTGTTTATTAAATAGACGGTTAAATAAATAATTGTAAGTTTTTAATAGATTAAAAAATGACTTTTTACTTTTTGTCATTCAGAAATTGTCAAAAGACTTAAAACTTAACTTTTAATCATTAACAATTGTTAAAGGACTAGTAAACGATGAGAAAACATGAATTCCATAAGGATCCGATAAGAGTGAGAGAGTAGACCTATATGCTGCGACGTTTTTTCATTGAAAATGATTTTTTTTGTGGGGGCAATGGTTAAAACATTTTTTTAAATCTTAATTTGTTTTTATTTTTAAGAAATTAAAATTATTTTGAAAAAAGAGGTTTTAGAGGAACTAATGCAAAAGACATGAAGTCAATCGGATTTATATAACCGGAGATACAGATTTTCAATGAGAGGGTACTTTTTCAAATTTGACAATTTTTGGCAAACTTAAAAAAATTCTAACTAAAAAAATAATTTTTTTTCGGTCAAATCCACGTGTTTACTTATTTTCCGAATAGTACGTGTAAAAAACGTTTCAGGCAAATCAAAAATGTGACCCAATAAAAGGTGTTCGGTTTGTAAAAGAACCGCCCATAAGTGCGTAATACCAGTGAGTAATATAGTTTTGCAAACTTTCATAATAATAATTGTACTCGTTGGAAATATGAATAGGGTTTTCCACTTCCAAAGACGCAATAAAAAATTTTAAATAATTAAAATTCATACTTTTTGGACAACAAAAAATTTAGGAAAATATTTTCCTAATTCCCCTAGTACACATTTAAAATTTAAGTTCCTAACTTTTAAAATTTATAGCGCCCCTAAATGGACACCAAAAAATGTTTAAAAAAATCACAGATGATAACCAAGGCAAACTCTACGAGGTACCCGAGTTTAAAGAAAATCTATTATTTCAAATTCGAAATAGAAAAAATCAAGAGGATTCTTTTATTTTACAAGTTTACCTTTTAATTGAATCACAGAAACTCCGTAGAAATTGCATAAGAAAACAAAACTTTTACAAAAAACTAATTTTTTTCTAATTCGGCTTAAAAATATTTTAAAACAAGAAAGAACGTTATAGCCCCGACTAACAGATACCCGTTACTCAGCTAAAGGGAGTGCAAAGGAGATGGAGATATAAATGCACGAATACAATATACCCCTTTTACTCTACGAGTAACGGATATAAATATATCAAAACAGAATCGTTCCCGCCAATTTGGAAGAATGTCAAAAATAATAACTAGACAAATACGAATTTAAAGTTTTCTTCGATGTGATCGACGATCGATCTATGCTATTTTATCGATTAAGACAAACTTAAAATAACAAATTTTTTTTCGATGTTACTTGTAAATCCGACCCCTAATATGGGCAAAAACAATTTTTTTTGGTATATTTAAGTTAGTTTCGAACCATGCGCAGATCCACGTTGGTGATATGGGCGATATATCACAGCTATAAATAGCTAAAATTCGGAAAGCCGTAACTTCTATACTACTAAAGCTACAGACTTGTGCTGCATCTCGTTTGAAAGGTATTTTTAAATGCTATAAACGCCTTTTATATGCAATTTGTGTAAATGTAATAGTTAAAAAGATATGAACAAAAATTTGTTTAAACTTTTTTTTTTAGATTTTTTCAAAAACGGCTCTAACGATTTTCCTTACAACTTTAAACTAAAATTTTTAAATTTTGGTATATATCATGTTTATGTAAAAAATCGCGTTTAAAAGTTATTCAGAAACGAAAATGGCCACTTTTGCCAGCTCAGAACAACTAACGCTTCCTGAGTGTTTAATTTTGTGCGCGGGTATCCAAACTGTATTTTAGGCTCATAGAATCATTTCAATTGTTTTAAGGACTTCCAAATAGGAAACTTTTGTTTTACGACTTTTGGAAAAACCCGCTGCTTTAGCGGAAAAAAAGCTAGAAATAGCTAAATTTCGTTAGTTTGTAAGTTCTACACTACTGAAGCTACAGACATGTGCTATACCTCGTTTAAAAGGTATTTTGAAATACTTAAACGCCTTTTTAACTTAATTTGTTTAAATACAATGGTTTACAAATTATGATTGACCAATTAAAATTTAAATGTATATACTAGCTCCTATGAGAGCAAATATAAACAAACAAAAACTTCTGATATCAAATAAAAACACCTCTTAACGAGGTAAAAAACTAGTGACGATCGCACCTTCAACATACAAAAGTTCTGATATCAACATTTGTGACGAAAAATTATTACACTCGTCATTAAATACACTTTCTAAGATTTTCTCATTCGGCACGCTGCAATAGAAAATGCCTAAGAAGGTAAAAAGGCTAAAAATAGTATGCTAGGGCGGTATATGGGCGATATATCACCCCCCACTCGGGTGAATAATGAAAAAAAATTTTGGTATTCAAAAAGTATGCAACAAAATATTTGTTCTAATATCACCCCCCACAACAAAATCCTAGATACTCCACTGTTTCGAACTATTGATTTGGGGCTAGCGTTAAAAAACCCCCTAACCGAACAACGGAAAAAAACTGTTGCGTGCAACATGTAGAGTGCAACAGTCATTAAAATTCAATTTAAAAACGAGAACCGAAGCCAAACTCGGCCAGCCAAAGCATAAACACAAAACAACGAAATATATTCAAAGATCTTAATTGAAATCAAATTCTGACCTATTTCACCCTAATGTTCCTATGGGAGCTATAGTATATATGTGTCCGATTGGTGCACGTATTTTCCTTGATCAAGGTATACATAATGAAGCGCAGGTAATGTAACAAGAATTGAGTTTGTTTGGAGGGAGATGGAGAGCTTTTTGATGATTTTTTCGATTTTAATAATTTTGAATTGTGAAATTATGCTTTAAAATGCGACGCCTTAAATGGGTTAAATCATTTTAAATAGAAAAATAAAACGAAAGTCCTAGCTACAACAAAATATATATGGGACGTTTTACTTTTTAAAATGTATTATCCCTGATTTTGCACCTAAAACTTTTGCTATTTTTCTATGTATATTGACAATCAAACGAAATTCCATTGTCACCTTTCAAAAATCTTTAAAAGTTAATAAATTTTGGTTAATCGATCGAAACATTAATGACGAAATAAATAAATTTCGGTTAAAATGATAAAAGTTTTCCGCGGTAGTAGGCGTAGCACATTCGGATAACAAACTTGCAATCAGGATCTGCCTACACAAAAAAAAAACTTGGTAAAATCAACTGTAATAATTGTCAAACAGGCCCCAACCAGCAAAATTGTCAATTCTACTAAGTAAATAGTCATTTCACAACAACAAAATACACACAATTAGCAAAGACAAAAACCCAAAGCAAAAACAAAATACACGTAACTATTTTAATAGTTACGTAACTATCTTCGTTGGTCAATTTTACCAAGCAAATTTTGTTGTGTGTATGCAATCCCTGTAGCTTTTACGGTTTATGAGCTCACAGCGTTTTCACGGTTAAACTCGACTTTCTTATTAACACGATATGGAGGTTAGCTTATTGAGTCTCATTAAGAATGGTAAATGGTAAATCTACTGATTTTAGTTGATCATCAATAAAACAACAAAATTAACAAGACTATTAATAGAAGTAACTTTGTCACTTTCGAAATTTAAAATATGGGTTAGGTTAGATAGTTGAAAATTATAGTTGAAAGACGCTCTGATAATCCCATAATGAAATTGGATGCATTGTGTTGGGGGTTTAAGTATGCACCTTTACAACTCGCAATTTTCACCACACTTTATTCAATTTTATACGTTTTTGCGTGTGATTAAGATCATTGCAATGCTTTATTACGACATATATTCTCTTTCCTTTTCGATTTTCTGAAGAAATAGTATGGGAGTTATAACAGCGTTCGCAAAAAAGAATAGAATTAGGAGCAGTGTGGTGCGAGGGAAGGGGCGAGACTGATTTCGTGTAGCTCTCTGGTTGGTTGGCGGGCAAGCGATGGTTTGTTTCCACTGGTAGCGACTCTAGCAACCTCCATCGCATCGTCACGGCCACTCGGTTTTGTCCGAGACAGAGTGCACTTTTTATTCACTTGGCGCTGGTAGGTATGTGAGTAGCAGCAAAGCAGCAAAGCAGCGGCAGGCACGACTACAGCCGTCTGACTTCGTCCTTTGCCCTAGACTTTGAGTCGCGTAAAAATGGCAAACAAACACCAACGGCCGAACGGACGACGTGTCCAGACTCAGCCAACAGCAGTTGCGAATTGCCGGCAAATGGGATTGCGATTAAATAACAGGTCCGGTCCAGCCCATGACGGGGAACTGCATCTATTTACTGAGAAAGTCGCTGAATATGAAATCCCAATAATAAAAAATGCCAAATCTTAGGCATTTTAAATAAAATGGCGTTCCTTGCAGTTGTTTGTGTGATTATGTGAACTGGGTAACACAAGGCTTTAGTCACTTTAAAAAATTGGTCAATTCAAACTCTATCGTAATATTACATATTAATATTTAGTTCAAAGGGACCTCAGATACATAAAGGATACTCAGATATCCTTCGGTGCCGCCCGAAACTATGCAATGGAATATTCGGCACACTGAATAAGTTTGGTCCTTAGTCATTGTTGTCAACTATGCTGTCCCACGATCGACCGATCGATCGAACTAACGGAGTATTGCTCGATATCATTTTTTAATGCAACATAAACAACAAAAGCACTGGCGAAATAAATTCAAATAGAAAATCCTCGGGAGAGGGAATCCTTCTAGGAAGAGCGGAAAAGAGCTTTTTTTTGAAGAGAGCTCCTTTTGAAAGTCGCATTCAATTTCCATGCATGCATTTTCCCCTCTTTGTTCCCCTATTTATTCCTGCCTTCTCCATTCATTTGGTTTTTTATTTTCGCTTCTTTCGCCCCACACTCACCACCCTCTCTACCCTCCTTCCGCCTTCCGCCTTCCGCCAACACTCGACCCCTAGTGCCAGGGACGCAAACTCAAAGAGGGATGGACTTAGGTCCGCCGGACCTCTTTCGCTCTATCTTAGGGGTAGCAGGAGGCGGTAACCATCGCTTCTTTTCGCTTCACTCGGCGTGTGGTCGAGGTGAGTGAAATAAAAATGGTTGAAAAAACGTGAGGGGTGGACAAATGAGTTCGTACGGCTGGGTGCGAGTTCGGTTGTTCGTGTGTAAGCGGCGCACACACACATGCAGACTATATAGTCTATATTCACACACACATAAGCAAGGACTTGCGAATGTGTTTATGTCTGCGCCTTAGCCGTCGAAGACAAAACATTCGAGGGAAGGTCAAACGCTCGGGACGCCGGTGTCCTTAGCTGTACGGAAAAGCCGTTGTTGCTCTGCTGAGTTCTGTACGATTTGAAAAGCGCTTCTTGCGACTAAATGAATATGATATAGATACATGTGCAAGGATGTACATATACATAGTTTGTCCCCAGAACGATGCACAAGAAATTAAACGGGGTGGTCCAGTTGGACTAAACTTAGTTAAGTTGCAATACAAACAGAATGAAGGCGAATTTCCCATTATCTTTACAATGCTTCCTATTACAGCATTATGATACTAACAAGCCAAAAAAAAGAGCCGCATAAAAACTACAAAATATATAAACACTAAACTAGATTGCATAATATATGTATATAAATACGAAATGCAAAGTTTAATGTCAATAGCTGTTACACTGGGCAAACTGTCTTCAAATACAGCGGAATATTTCATGTTTTACCTGGTCGTTACCATGGGAGGTATAACGTATGTACCCTTGAATAAAACCGTTTTCAAAGTCGATCTACCACATTTGTGACCAATGGGAATTTTTTTTAATCGATAGCTTTTAAACTGAGCTCGCAACAGACAGACGACTGGGGGACATATCTCAAAAAACTACATTTGAACTTCTCAGGATACATAAGTCTTTAAGCACACCATTTAAACTTGTACTTTTCTCATGCTCTGGGTATATGACATTTGTACACAATGTCGACATTCGTCACTCTTCTAGTAATTGAGCGATATACACTTTAAAGAGTCACATTTGCGACCCCAAGAAATTAATTATGTGATGCTAGCAGTACGCGAATCGATATATCCACGACGTCTGTTCGCCTGATTCTATTTCCTTCTATTTCTTAAATGAGCTATTAAAAGGTATCTATTCGATTCCCAATCAGCTCAATCTCAAAAAAACTGTCTTGCCGAAGCTAACTTCCATTCTCGTTTAACATTAAAGCTATTCTTAAGTTGAGTTTTGTTTTTAGGCCGTCTTACTAGTAGAGTAGTTTTTTTTGAGTGTAGATAGCACATACCTAGACAAAATTAAATTTGTAAATAAGGGAAAATAAAATAATACAGTGCAAAGTTTTAACGATACATACATTTAATTTACAAAAGGTTTTGTGTTTCGTGTACATGTTTAAACAGAATAAACTTAAAAGATTCATTAATTGTATAAAGTAAATACATAATTTATACTATGCTTATAAACTCGGAAAACAAAATTAGGGTGTTCAATTGCGTTGCAAACGTTGTAAAGTGTAAAAGTGTAAGGCAGTTCCAACAACAATTTCTATACAAAAAAATTTTCAAAAGTAGGCCTTTAAAACTATTTTGTATAGAAATTATTGTTGGAATTGATATACACTTTTACACTTTACAAAGTTTGCAACGCAATTGAACACCCTAAATATTTATTTGCAAATAAAAACTTTTGGTTGTGGGGTGTCGAGGTTTTTTTCTTTTCGTAGATACTGTGTTGATTACTAACATATTTTCACACAATTTATTTACTATGAATTATTTTAAAATCAGAAATAGGTCCGCCATTACTTAAAAACAACCAGAGATCGGTGCATTTTATAACTGAATAGGGTCACACTAAAATTAATTAAATAAATTAAGGCAAAATAATGTAACTTTAGGCAGCAGATTCACCATTCCCAAGGCGCCATTACTTTTAAACATATTTGAGAAAAAGCTGGCTCTGGCCATCTACTAAGTTCGTGTGGGCGCGTACACTGTGTTATTAGTTATTTGTGCGTAAGTGTTGGGTGATTTGGTGTGCTGTGCTGCAGCTGAGTACGTGTCTTTGACGAGGAAGAGTACTATACACAACGGAACAGATGCCAACTCACTCGTTGCAGGGTTGACCAACATTCTTCAAGGGTGCGTTCACTGATCGCGGCTGCGCTGCTCGAACGGGATAGCTGAAGCTGAAAAACAATCGAAGGTATACATTGTAATTATAAATAATACAAACGAACAGTATTCGTTTCTTATGTACTGGGAAAATAGATGAGAAATATGAGATACTTATGTATGTAACTAGGTCAAATTTGGCAGCTCTTTACATTCGATTACTTTGACACGGACTTCCAGTACTATAATGTTTTAAATAATATGTAAATTTGTTTTCAGGTTTTAACACACAAAGAAAAAGACGGAACACGTCCAAACTTCTATTTGTATGTAGCGATTTAAATTAAAAAAAATATTTCGACGGAACTAAAAACGTTACATTTTTGAGTTTAGATTGCTGTTTGGCATTTTAAGAGTTGATTAGCCGTTAGTGCCCGGTTTTTTGCGTATTTGAATTGATTGTCTAATACTAGCCAAAAATAAGTTTATGCTTGTGTAGCTTGGTAATCGTTAATTTGTATACTTTTTTCTATTAAAAATAAAATTGTTTGCCTTGCCATAAATTTGTTTACTATTATGTTCCTAAAAATGTGCTTCACGCGACTTGTTATAGGACCTATCCTAATGTGGCATGTAGACATAATAACTTCTAATCGTCCGTTCATGTAGTAATTTTAGAGAAATGTGTTCAACCAAAAACTCTTCGAATAAAACCGAACATCTTTAGGTGGTAAATAAAAAATGAAAAATTACATCGTGCTCCTTTTCACAGTCAAGTGTCATTGTATACGATAACGGTCTGAATAGCCGATCGTAAAACGAAACAAAACGGAACGAATACAACACAGTTCCCTTGCGGTGTGTATATTTTGAATTTTGATCAGTGATTTGATTCGGCGACTTGATTCCTTGCTCTTTCCCGAGTTATAGACTTGCGAACTGTGCGGCACTTGTGTTTCATGTTAGGCGGATTCTTGCATAGGTTAGTTGTCCGAGCGACACAGTCTTATCAGCTGCATCACCACTGAAGGACGCATTTTCGTCTTAGTTTTTTGGATCGGAAATATTGTTGCTCAGCAGCGATTGCCATTCGTGGATACAGTTTATTGGCGGTCAGTGCAACAAAATAACTGGGCTCGCGACCACGAAATAGCTGGCGCACGACCGAACTGATTTTAGTTTCGTCAGGATATTTAGGTACGCGAAGCAGACCGGAGCACACAACCTTACGGTCTGATGTCCTTTGAACTTCTGCCGGCACGGCGAATTATCATCAGCAAACGGGACACTGCGTGAGTGCCATGGGGTTCTTCTTAAACTATCCCGTTGTTGCTTCGTCGTCGTCTCTGTCTCTGTCTCCGTCTCTGTCGCTGCCGCAGTCGCGCTTCTAACTCGGCGTCTCTTTCTCTATGCGTTATTATTGTTTTCTTGAAGAAACAAGCTCGGAACGGACGGAGTTTAAAAAAAACGGAAGGAAAAAGCTCCCGAAAGAATGGCATCTTGCGCTCTCGTTTCTCGATTCTCGGTTCTCTTTTCGCAATACATGGAGTGGGCGCACGGCAGGGAAGACAAGTCGAGGGAAAACAAAATTATGGCAGCGGTGGAGTTTACGTCTGGACTAGGAACAGTGAACTGACTTTTATATCCTTGTATACTTTACGTGAGTGTGTGTGTGTGTGAGTGTTATTAAACTGAACCTGAACTTGCATCCCCGTTTTGGTCCCCATAACTTACTGTACAAGTGAACCGAGGCGAAGATTCTCACACACTTTCGCAACCATAGGAAAAGGAACTCGACAACGGGGGTTACTTCCATACTTAAGGAAAAAGCATAGCTAAAAACTAAGCAAGGATAAGGCTGCTCTTTGTCCTTCTCCCTCTCTCTCTCTTACCATCGCTCTCCCTTGCTCTCACCCCCTAACTATAGTAACTTAGCATATCCACACCTCACCACAACCCCATTTTCCATTACCCCTCTCTAATTTCCGACCGATTTTCCCGAACTAGTTGGCACACAGAGAGATATGCTGGTGGGCACGGGACGGGAAAGGTGGAAGAGATGGCAAAAGAGAAGCGCTGTCGCCAAAGCTGCTTACACGCCAAGAAAACTGGCGCAGTAAAAAGTAAAAATGCTGTTTATCGCGTTACAAGGGCTTCCAAGTGCGAAGCAGGTTCTTGGGACTTGAGCGAGCCCGTGGACGAGTGTACCCCTTTCGAGCTGGAACGAAAGGCAGCTTTCAAAAATTCCCCTTCTGGAAAAGGGATTGCCTTAGGGTTGTTTTGATCTACTCTTACAGCGAAAGCGGGGTGGTAGAAGAGAGACTCGGATCAAGAGAAAATTCATTAGGGAAAAGAGCATTTGCCGTCGAAAAACTAGACACTCTCTTTCTGAAAAAATATCAGTGGTCACTTTAAAACTTTTTGCAAATGAACAGACCAAAACTTTCAAGGTCGTTAATAATATACTCAGACTACCTTTTCACTGGTCCAATAAATTTACACACTTATATATTGAACCCGCCAAAACATTTAGTCTCAGCATTTCAAGTATATCATGTTAATGAACGTTAGTTGCTTAATAGTAATCCGAAAGTTATTTAAGGCAAGTCGTAGTTCTTATATCTCATATCTCGTGATTCCATGACTCCTTCTATTCTCGATCAAAGAAAATTTTTTACAAAAAAAATTTGTATACTACTAGTAGCTGGAATTGAATGTGGTTTAACAAAAAGAACGAAATTTAATTTTGACATTAATACGTGTCTGTTTTGGCTCCATATTTGGCTTAATTTCTTGAATTTTACAAAATTGTTGAAAAAATAAAACCTATCTTAACAAAGGAATCCTAATAATTGGGGGTATCTCAAAACTCTTTCCCAAGCAAAACCTTTTGGTTTTGAGCATTGACGTACGAAAGAACCATAAGGGTTTTTAGTTGAAACAAATTTGTTTGTCATCCCCGATTGTACTTAAAAAGTTTCTACTAAAATTAGTACTTGATGACCGAAATAGTTTATCAGAATTTGACAAAGATAAAATTACCTGAAAAATTTAAAAAAGGAACTATTCCAAAAATAATTTGTTTACTTGGCTTGATCAGGGAGTCCTTCTTATTCCAAGAATCATTTTTAAACTTTTTTTTTTTTTTTTTTAGATACTTAATATTTTGACAATAACTATATTTTTAATTGGCCTAATTTTTTCTTGTGTAACTGGACACTGATGTCAGCAATCATTTTAGAGGCTCTTAAGTAAAAAAAATACATCTTTCAGATGTGTCTTTCATTTCTCCTTAGTTCTTTTATCGCTTTTTTTCCGCAATCAGGGAATGCATTTTAAAGAAAAGTGTATAGGTTACCCTTGTCTTTCCCGAGTATTATTATATTTTTTTTACACAAACAGATGTACAGAGGACTCGTCGAACTATTTTGCTCATAAAAGCCGCATGTTTATTCAGGTTTAGTTAATTAGACACCAAGTTCTTGAAAGTTGTAAAAAATAATTTTCGAAAGAAACAAAAAATTAAAATAATTTTTTATTACTAAATACATTACTGTAAAATCTTTTCTTGTTTTTAAAAACGCAATGGCGCAATGAGACGAGTCGCAACAAAGCACGCAGTCGCTTAAGATGGCGCCATCTAGCGAAAAATTAATTATTTGCTCATCACTTTTTAATGAGTTGTTTTATATTTGGTAGGTATTACTCGGTGGTGGATCCACGATTTGGTTGAAACTTATTTATTTTGGTTTATTTTAGTTTTGAAGCTACATATATCAAAAATTGTAATATAATAATTTCAGTACCTATCGAATAACCTTAAAAATAAGTTTGACACGCCCACTCTAACGCCCTTAACGGTTAGCGCCCACACTAATGCCTTGCGTTAATTCTTGTTGTAAAGTTGGTTAGCTTACACTCAAAAAAACAATCCTAGATTTAATTAAGCGTGGACATTGCCTTAAATGGAGATTTAAGGTCGTTGTGGACTAAAAAAAAATAGTGAAAATGGCCATAAATGTTTAATTTAAAGCCGTACATTTTTAAGGAATCAATAAAAAATCAATTAAAATTTGTTTAAACATAAAGAAACTTTACGATCTTGTTACCTAAAAAAAGTTTAGTCCTATCCAGTGCCATTTAATTATATTTTTGAATGATAAAAAAGTCTTCAATGTAATAGTCACTCAAAATTAAAAAAGAATGTAACCTAAGCCGTATAAAGAAAATAGCCGGTACAACTTACAGTACTTTACAATAAACGCATAACAACGTGTTTAGCAATAACACTTCATGTTGAAACTCGAGTTTCAGATTGTAATTTAAAATTTTCAAAGTCAACCTTTTCAACAATAAGTAAATAAGTGGTAAAATTATGAGATTAACATATATCAAAAGGTAAATGAGTTGTGTACATTTTTTAAGTTCTTAACCTAAAAAATACGACGCCTTTTTAAATGATTCAAATGTAAAAAAATTCAGTTGTAAAATGCATTTACTAGTAATAATAATACAATAAAATAAATTTAAAAAAAAAACAAGTCCGTTACTGCTACCGATACTATATTTAAGATGATGGACTCAAAATAAGTCTAAGATTTCATAGCTTCAAAATTACTCCATATTACCTTAGTGCAATGGCTTTCTTAAATCTTTCAAAATTGCGAATTAAATTTAACAAAAATCGGACGTCTTTATTATATAGCTCCCATAGGAAGAATTAAAAAAATGAATGCCAAAATAATTACCCAAGTAAATCTAAATTTAATGTTTGTGTAAGTTAATAGGAGTGATCTGCAGGGTATATGAGCTTCGGCTGGCCGAAGCTTTCTTGCTTATATATGTTTTTCCAATTATTCCTTTTGAAGTTGAGATAGTTGTCGGATCTGGCTGGTTCCGACTTATATATGTACTACCTGCGAATAATAGAAGTCTTCTGAGAAACTTTAGCCTGATAGCTTCAAAAGTGAGAGACTATGTTGCGTAGAAACGGACGGACGGACGGACATGGCTAGATCGACTCGTCTAGTAAGCGCTCACTGCGTTGCAAACTTCTGACTGAAATCACTACACCCTCTGCACTATGGTCCAAAAGTCGATTTTTTTGGCATAAACTCTAAAAATTGAGTCACAGACTTATAACTTTACACATTCTGTTTTTTTACAAAGAATAGTTTGCAAACAAATTTTTGAGTCTGTGCGACCACGCCCTCTTTTGCCTCCCATACAAGCAAATTCATAATACTACACTGTGTTATAAAATTTAACCTTTTTTTAAATACCTCGATGAAATCTTAAAAGTCCTATTTGCTTTAAATAATCGCGCTCAAAATGTGCTCTCGAAAAAATTTTCACACCCAAGGATTCTAAAAAAAAGGATATTAAAGTTGGAAAAATTCTGTTTTTGGCAAACTTTGAACCTATTTTGCAGACGAACGGATTCTTCGTATGTAATGTAACTCAAAACATTTAAAAAGTGCAACTCTGTATCTTTTAAGCCTCACACTCACAATAATTTTTGTAATTTGTTTAACGGAATTATAAGCAAAGGGAGACATTTCCTTTTCTTTCTCTTACGAATGCTTAACAAAGAAAAATTCAAAATAACTACTTTTTTAAATTTATTTTTGATGTTTTATCATCTTTTAAGTGGTAATTGAAAATTTTTACAGAAATGCAATCCGAAAAAAATTAAATTTTCGATTGTTGCTGCGCCAAATATCCTAGAGATCGCTGCGAACAAACTTTAAGGTCCCTGAATAGTGTGGAATTGCGTGAAAAGGGGGACGAACGGGGAAAAGGTGTTAATAAGCGCTGAAAAACGACATGTATATGTACAAACTGGCGCACTTAGTTTTTGTGGGCAGACGTCGGGTCGTTAGTTTTATCCCACTAAATACAGGGAACAAATTTTAATTTTCTATAAAAATACACATAAATTGGAAATTAAACACAGGTCGAACACTAAGATTACACATAAATGTACTATACACACTAAATATTACATAGCTTGATCTTTCATTTCCATAATTTACTTAATTTAGTCGGGACAAAGAAGTTTTATTTTTTTGCACAAACGTAAAGAAAATATTATGGCGCCAATTTCTTAGTCCTAAGCAGCTGATCGATTGTGTACTTTTGAAAGCTCATAAAAAGCGTTAGTGTAGCTTTTAACGCTTTTTTTTTAAGTTTGTATATGTATGATCTATTAACTTTAAGAATTTAAAATCAAAAATACAAAACATTAACATAAAAATTTTGACTTTATGCCAAAAAACCGGCCGCTCGGACCATAGTGCTCTGCAAGGGTATAAAAATGTGTTTCCCAACAGTTATATTCTATAATGTAGTACCTGAATTTCGTTGGCCATTTTTTCGTTGTTGTATTTGATGTCAGGCGTCGTGCTGCCGCCGGACGGCGTCGTGGAGTGCTGCGGGGACTGCTGACCCTGCGACAAGGTCTTGTTGATCATGGCTGGCCCGGGTCTGGGTCCTGTCCCCGAGCTCGAGTGGCCTCCTGTCCCGGGGGACATTGCCTTGCACTGCGGCGTCTGCAAGCCCCGGCCCGCCATCGTCTGTTGCTGGTCCTGCAAATTGGACTGCGCCTCGTCGGAGGACCCCGTATGGGTTCCGCCGAGGCCAATGGTCAGCGTCCGTCCTTCTGCCTCGGAGACCTCCCCTCTCGGCGCCTCGCCCACGTCGTAGAAGTCTCCGCCGTACGGGGGCTGGGTCTGCGCCTGCTCCAGCGGCTGGAGGGGCGGCTTGGCATCCATCTCCTGCTTGGGCTTGATCCCGCACAAGGCGGTCAGCGAGCCGTGGCCATAGTTGCGCAGGGCACTCTGCGCCTGATCTCCCATTGGCGAGAGGTTGTTCTGCATGGCCGTGGACTTGAGGTGGGCCGCAGCGGCGGCGGCCGCAGCTGCGTTAAACAACAGGTGGTGGCTGCTCAGCTGGGGCGACTGCGAGCCCCGGAAGGAGTCGCCCCCATAGGACTGTTGCTCCGAGTGCTGCAGGAGGTGGCTGGACTCGGCCTTGCTGCCCAGAGGGGGGTGGGGGCTGGAGACGGCCATGGAGCTGCTGCTGTTCACTGCGGCTGTTTCTCCTGCCCCTGGGTGGACTTCGGCCAGCAGCTCATGCTCCTGCGGAAGGGAGTGGTGCAGGGAGTGGTGGGGCGTTTGTTGCTGATTGGGGGGCGAATTGTACTGATGGAGCGCCGTTTGCAGACCGAACGGGGCACGTGCCTGCTGCCAGAAGTCTGCGGCGTCCATCTTGAACATTCGAAGTAAGCTGGCTGGGAGGTGGCCAATATCGATTTCCCAGCTCACTGGGCCTGGCTGTTTGGGCCGATCGATACGGCGTTTACTTTCGATCCTGAACTCAGATCTGGGCTGCAAACTGCGAGTGGTGGTGGCCTGGCTGAAGCATCTTAATTTCATATCATGTCACTGCCTGCAAAGTAAAACCATAATAAAATATCAGACTCTGAAACTAGGTATTAATGTGACATCTTAGAGCTAGTACTCAACCCAACAAAAAGTCGCCCAAAACAAAAAACTTCATATGAAAAACAACGTCAAAAATTTTTGTTTCATATGAAGTTTTGGTTTTGGACGACTTTTTGTTAGGTGGAGTACTAGCCCTTAAAGAAATGAGAACTCGACAAAGTTTGCATCGAGTATTCATTTTCTATTTTGTAACACTATCGACCTTTACAAATCTAGTTCGATGTGGTATCGAAACTTTTCCCGAAAAAAACTGAAAAATACAAAAACTAAGTAAGCATCCTGTTGTGATAAGTTTTAAATACATTACTGGACCTTCAACCCAACAAAAAAGTCGTTCAAAACAAAAAACTTCACATGAAATAAAATTTCTTGACGTTTTTTCATATCAAATAAAAACACCTCTTAACGAGGTAAAAAACTAGTGACGATCGTAGCTTCAACATACAAAAGTTTTGATATCAAAATTTATGACGAAAAATTATTACACTCTTCATTAAATACACTTTCTAATATTTTCTGATTCGGCCCGCCCTAGCAAACTATTCCAGCCTTTTCCCTTCACAGGCATTTTCCATTGCAGCGGGTATTTCGGGTATTTTCAATAGAAAAACAACTAAAACATTGCGTGGAAGCATTTATCCCCACCGCCACCAACAGCTCCAAAATTCGAACTTTCTCCGCTCTCTCTCCCACGCCAATTGATTTTCTTAAAGTCTGGTATGCAATCCTGTTAGTTTTTGCGATACCTTTTGATTGGTTATTGGTGTATCACTCATTATGATCGGACCATCACAGCAGATTTTCATTTCTTCGTGTATATATAGTAGTCGCCTTCGCACACTACCATAGTGATGAAGTTTTTTGTTGTGGACGACTTTTTGTTGGGTTGAGTACTAGCCCTTAGTCAATTATATAATTATATTTTGACGCAGAATTTGATATCAGAACTTTCGTATTTTGCAGTTGGCTCGTGGTTACACTGAATACTCTGAACGAATTGCCCGAAATAAAAAAAACCTTTTGTAAATTTACCGACCTAAACAATGTTTTTTTTTTAATTTTAACTATTCTATTACAAATGTTGAACTTTATGTTTTGCTTGAAAATTTAATTTTAAACTTTTAAAATTGTTGCAAAAGAAATAAAATTTCCTCATTACCCAGAAACTTGTTTTATACGGGGTATGTAAACGTCCTAGTAAAATTTATTCCATTTCCTCTGCTTCCTGACGTAAACTTAATTCAAAACTTAGTCAAAAATGTAAAAAAGGTTTACAAAGAAAAAGGTCTAAGAAAACGTATCCAAGCCTTGCAAATTTACGCGGTATCAATTCCGAATGTCTTGAGCTTATATACACTTGTATTAATATAAAATGTAAAGAAAAACAAGAAAGGAAGCTAGCTTCGGCAAACCGAAGCTTATATACCCTTGCAGATCATTCTATTAATTTACAAATCGCAAAAATGTTAAATTTCGTATTATTTCACATTAATTTTTCGATCGTTTCTATCACAGCTATATGATATAGTAGTTCGATCTTTTAAAAATTAAAATCGAAATTTGGAAATATTTCAAAATAGTCATATCCCAGAGTAGAAGGGAGTGTAATAAAAACCAACAAAGATATAATTTTTTTCCCATATATATTCATTTAATTTTTCGACCGTTCCTATGGCAGCTATATGATATAGTGATCCGATTTAAAAAACAAAAAAACCGAAATTCAGAAATATATAAAAAAAATATTCCCAAGAGTAGAACGTAAAATTTCAAAAAACACCGGAGCTAGAATTTTTTTACGTTTTTTTTTTGATCCCTCCTATGGGAGCTATAAGATATAGTTGTCCGATCCGGTTGGTTCCGACATATATACTACCTGCAATAGAAATACGACTTTTACGAAAGTTTCATCCCGATAGCTTTAAAACTGAGAGACTAGTTTGCGTAGAAACGGACGGACAGACGGACAGACGGACGGACAGACGGACAGACGGACATGGCTAGATCGACTCGTCTTGTGATGCTGATCAAGAATATATATACTTTATGGGGTCGGAAATGTCTCCTTCACTGCGTTGCAAACTTCTGACTGAAATCATAATACCCTCTGCAAGGGTATAAACATACGAAATAACGCAGTTATAGCCAAACTGCCGGACCATTATCGATTTCAATGCCTTGCAGTGGACAAAATTCGGGGAGAACGGCTTATCCGAAATCTGAATCTCGCTGAACGAAGGAAAGTTTCCTGCCTCAGTTTCCGAGGTGTCTAACTATAAAAGGCTGTAAATTTGGTTCTATCGGTCTGATAATTTTGATTTTTGATATAGCTATTCCTAGAACTATATACCTCAACATAAAGATATACAAAAAAGAATATTTTAGCGGGTGCAAGTGTATAAAACCCCTTAAACTATATCGCACACCATATACCAAGTAGTTACCATACCACACCAATTAGTTAAAGAAAAATATTAATTTCCTAAGCATTGCATCAAAAGCTCGAATCTGTTTTATCACCTTTCCGTCATTGAAACTGGGGGGGCCCATTTCTTTTAAATTACAAATTAAAGAAGTTAGCATTAAAATTTCTCAAAATGTAATTAAAAAATCACAAGTATTTTATTAAAGTTATTCCCAAGAGTAAAAGATAATTTGTCAAAAAACACATGAGCTATAATTTGGTTCCATTTTTCTTCCGAACTTTGCTATGGATGCTATAAGATATAGGTGTCCAATCCGGCTGCTTCATAGCTTAAAAACTGAGAGACTAGTTTGCGTAGAAGCGCGCAGTCGGACGGACGGACGGAAATGGCTAGAGCGAGTGATGCTGACTAAGAATATATATAATTTATGGGGTCGGAAACTCTTCCTTTTGTATGTATCTCGAAATTGAGTATTGGCCCAATGTCAGCCTTGTACACAGTGTAGTGATAATCGAGAGCCTTAATATAGTATCTGATGGTAGTACCACAACCCGTCATTATACCCAAATGTTGATACACAAATGTTGATATCAGAACTTTTGTAGGTTGAAGGTGCGGTCGTCTCTAGTTTTATATCGCAAGTTAAACTAGCGAGTTTTTTCAAAAGTTATCACAAATGTTTCACTAATGTTTCTTATATCCAGCTGTATCCAACACCATATATCATTGCCATATATCATTGGGACAGACTGACAAACAGAATTAAATTTTCATTTCAGGGAGCATCGGATTTTCCGGTATTCAACGCGTATTTTCAATAGAAACACAACAAAAAAATGCGATGGGACATTTATCCCCATCGGCCCCAACAGCTCAAAATTTCAAAATTATAACTTTCTCATTTTCACTGCTCTCTCTCCAAAGCCAATGATTTGTCCTTAAGTCTTGGTATGCAGTCCTTTAAGTTTTTGCAATACCTTTCGATTGGTTATTACTCATTACGATCGGACCATCACAGCAGATTTTCATTTCTTCCTGTATATCTATATATAGTAGCCTTCGCACACTCACCTGGTGCGTTTCGTCACTACGTGGACTGCCATCCACAGTGATGCAAGAAAATGTAAGTCAAATCAAAAGTGCGATTTTCAAAACGACCCAAATGGGTAACTCTCTTTATAAAAGCAAAAATTGCTAATTATTTAAACTAGAAATTTGATTTTTTCAATGTGAATATTACGCATACATGCGGGCAACGTCATATATTGGGTGTCTTGTAAAGAAGTAACTAAGAGAAACCTACAGAAAGGGTAGGTAGAGTTAAATGCGATTAACGCTTTAACGCCCATGCAAAAGGTTTTACCGCTTATACATTACAGTGTTTGCCATGCAACATTGCTATGAACCTGTTGGTCAACTCCTATACGTAGTTAGGGATCTATAGTCCTTTAATTTTGATAGGGCCTAAATCTGATTAGTAATCTACTTTAAAACGATCATCAGTTTTTAGCAGATCGGTTTTCAAATCAAAATTAAACCGGCAAGTAAAACTTTTGATTGCTTTTAACTGAGCTGGCAAACTTATCGGATTGTACTTTTAAACTTGGAACTTTTAACACGTTTTGTGACAGGTCAAAAGTTTAAGTTTCATTTCATATTAACTCGGTTTACAGTGACCCTTATAATATGAATTTTCATACATTTGAAAGTTGAAGGATCGAAAAGCAAATCTTTTTTGTGAATTTGTATAGTTCCCAGGGTTAAAGAATTGTGGTGGCGGTGTGTCACGATTTTTAAAAATCTTAGGTCAATAAAAATGTATTGTATAGTACTGCATTTACTCGAACCTGTAGATACGACGTTATTTGAAATACCACTTGGATAAATTAAAACTTATCTTTGAAAATCCGAGTTGTCGCACTAATTCTGCACTCTCTTAAGTTGTTTAAGTTGTATTCAATTAACGATTTCTACGGATTTATATTATGCTTTATCTATAACTGAACACTATCACATTTTTACAATCAGCTGAGGTCGGTAATACTTTACAACCTTTTCTTATCTTGTTGTGAACTTAAAAACTTGTTTGTTCAAAGAGGGAATTACTTATTTTGTTTGCTGCTTTTGAGAACTTCATTTAAAAAAAATTAAAAATATTCCAAGACTAAGATAAAAATACAAAATTCGTCACATAAATAGTTACAAAAAGAAGAAGAAGGAAATTACAAAAATAAATTTTTCAAAATAGGTTTATCGAGTTCTGATATTCGAAGTTTTGGGGATTTAGTGCGTTTTTGCCCGCTTTTACCTCTTCACGAGGTTATTTTGGTAGTGGTGGATAAATAAAATAATGAATATCTGTATGCACGGCCTCGATTACGGTTACGGTTACAGTTTCAGCTGAGACTTGGAGTTGCTCCCAGTAAACAACTACAGATAACCTGGCGGCACGCGAGTCATAGAAAAACTAATTTGGCCGCCGCCTCGGCCAAGTATAAATATGACTGTTGCTGGGGGT